TTCGACATTGTGATGGTTTCGGACCTACAAAATTCTGACAGTTCTTCTCAGTACTAGTAAACAGTGATTCGTTTTCTGATTGCTAACCGGTGATCAGAAATGAAACAAGTGATAAGCTATGAGGAGTATCACTGCTACTGTGGATATTTTACCATTATTATCAGTCCCTTGGGTACCTAGTGGAAAGTATAGCTTCGGCGGCAGGCCGCCATTTCACCCAGTTCTGTGCAGTCTTTTCATCATCTTTCATTTCTTCCTCACACGATCTCCTCCACGTCACCATCGCCTCGGATGCCCAACTAGTCCCTTCCCGTTTGGCTTCCACCCAAGGGCCTGACCTGACGCGTGATGTCCCCAAACACAATCAGGAAGATCATGGTTGATAGTAAGCAAAATTGTTTTGTCTTACGCCTGTCCCCAGTCTTCATTTCAAAGACATCACCCAGCTACCCATTGTGAATCACTCGGCATGTAGCATACTCACATCACATAAAGCTGCTGTTGAATGAGGTTGACTAAGTTATGTGGCACTTCGTAGAGCAGAAGCAGCTGCCAAATTACTTCTCGGTCGATGCTATCGAAGGTCTTTTCGAAGTCGATGATGTTGAGGTAGAGTTGACTGCCATTCTATATTTTGTTCTATGATGATGTGTAGCGTAGCACTGCAAGTTGATCCGCACATGATTTGTTCTTCGTGAAGCCAGCCAGATAGCCAACCAGCCAGCCAGGCAGCCAGCTTCAAACATAGTGCGAACTTTCCATGTCTCTAAGCTTACTTCTGCTTTCATCGAGGGACAGAAGTCACATCAGCCAATTGGCTTCCCGGAGACTTTCACCAACCGGCGTGAATTCGTCTCCCCGATTATAGCAAGGAATAAACTTTTCCATATATTTTTTTGTGCTTTGAAGTTTCTTTTGATTTTCCGGTGTGGGGTTGCTAGCCCCACGCCCAACCTTCCCTTTTTATCCGGGCTTGGGACAGGGTAGTAAACTAGCGAACTAGTAAACTAGGTGAGGTTGCGTGAGAACTTTTCGTTCTATATAAAACTTTGATGCGAAAAGCCATTCCAATACAAACGGTCATTGACTTCATGCGTCTCCAGTCATTTGACTTAGTGCACCTGAACGATCAACTTATTCTGTCTTTAGATAAGATGAACACTTGTTCTTTGCTAAATATCACTTAATATGTGAATCTTTATAATGATGAAATGTGGTATATTTGAAACTAACCCTATTGACTTTTCTTCTGCAATGTCCAGACTTTTGAAAAGCCATGGATATAAGTAAAATATACGTTCAAAACAAAGAAAATACGCGTTTTCATACAGAAAATTATAAGCTTTAGCAAGAACGATAACATCTGGAATTTGCTTTCAGCTTCATCCTTTGAATTTTCGCTTTCGTTTCGAAAACGCGCCAGGTGCGAACGACATACTTTTCCATTTTTGGATATTCATACATGCAAGATAGCTTAGCTGATTTTCGTTAGCATTCGTAATCTACGTATTTTAGTGATACTGTCACGTTTTTATTGTTAATTGCTTTTTTGAGTAGAACTGAAATTTAGTGACGAGCAAACACGTTTAACTATCCACTGACCAATCAGAACCAAGAATATGAAAGACGACGTAATTATTAATGAAAACGGTGCTTAATTCACAAATTAAAAGTTTGATTTACATGAGAAGTATATCTAGGTTTTTCATAGGCTTATGGTTTTTTTAAACTATACCATCATCTATTTTGCCACTCATCAATGTGAGACTATATCATTTCCCCTCTTGATCTCAGTAAATATCTTAAGAATCTTCTAGGACGACTCCATATATTTCCAAAGTTGCTTTTGTGCACTTTAGCTGTTCGGTGAATGAAGTGTTTCTTATAAACAGTAGCTTGATGAGATAACCCATTTCTGATAGATACATATGCAACTTACAAGCATCTGTGCATATTGTAGGACCCAATACTACATAATTTTCCATATCTGCTAGGATAGATTTTTATGATCTATGCTTTATCCTCTGAAAATATCCTTTCTTCACATTTTGGTCATGTTTATCAGGAATCTATGGTTCGTCAAGGTATGCGTATGTATATTACGTAGTCCTGTTTGAGTCGGCTTCCTAGGTTCTGTTTACGTTTTCAAAAAACACAACTCTGTTTCCACCATCTTTTCCACTCCACTATATTTCACATCCAACCTGCAACGTAATCTTCGTCATAATTTCTCAAATCTATACAATGTAATTAACATAGTGGACGGACGTAACGAATCATCATGAATACAGCATCTATGACCTCACTGGTTGTCATCAAGATTTCCATCAGTTGCAGTGAACGGAATAACTTGGCAGAACTCAGAAAGATTAACACTCTAAAACGACACGAATCCGAATCGAGAATATGATGGAAGTTGGAAGAAGATGATCGTTTTGTGATAATGAATTGCACAGTGGGATAAAGCTTTCCAAAGTTGAGTTTCCGTAATGGAGGGCATGCAGAAATCAAACGACTGCTTTCTTGTGTGTGTGATAAGTGAACACTTCTTCGTTTCAAACCTCGCTATCTCAGTTGCCGATCTCTATAAAGTTATACACGGAGGAATACCATTTGCTAAGGACAGTGTTTGCTCGACGTTTTAGCCTTTCTGAGGCTCTGATCACAAAACTGTTGAATCGGAAGCTCTAAATACAAAAGGATTCGCTCCATTGCTTTCCTTCTCATGATCTTCATCTGCCGCTTTTTAAATGAACCGTCTCCTCCTTCTTTCATTCGATCGACCTATCAGAAAAAACACATCTTAATCTCTCCATGCTTTTCATTATGACGATTCACTTATTAGATATTTTATCATTGTATGTAATTTATCATTTCACAATAATCTTCTTCATTAAGTTTTAACTAAGTTCTTGATTCAGTTTTCCTCCCCCTAAGAGCATTTGCATTCGTGAAATCTGATAAGTTATTTCGTTCGTTGTTATGCCATTCGGACAAAACTGTTGCAACTATGAGATAAATTCAGAATGTTCACGAAAAGAAGCATATGTATACAAGGGTCCGGCTTGGATTATCAAATTTGTGGAAAGAATGTTTTCGCTTAAACATTTGCCGTTCTTATACTTCTGACATTGATTCACTGTTCACGAATTCCTGGATACGAAAACGAGACATTATTATTAATTTATGATAAGAATGTTCTAAATGGCATTTATGAGCGGATCAGTAAGTTGCTGCTGATATGATGTGCCACTAGAGTTTGCAACATAGTGTTTTACATTAAGTGACATTCAGTCCCTCTTAACACCATCCTCAACGAATGTTCGGAGACGTTTCACAGGGAGAACCAGGGTAAGTCTGAGCTTCCATGTCACTATTTATGTGGATACTCAAACAGTTTCAAGATACATCCATCGAAATTAACTGTGATAATTGGTCAGAATAGGAGTGAATCGGTAAATCAAAGAGGATTTGTGTCGATGTCAAACAAAAAACAGTAGGATAGCTTGCGCCTCAGCACCTCTTCATATATCACATAGACCAGCTAGCAGATGACTGGGAAACCTCGGATTCACTAAATGTCTCAGGTGGTTGACAGCACCGAAGTCAAATAGTACATTAGGATGCTAACTGTGACGACTTATCGCAAAAAGCAGCACTTATCTATCAGACCAATTATTTTTCAGTTCCGTTGACTCGACCTGCATGCTAAACATCAAGCTATCTTGTTTGCAAACGGAACCGGAAGAGTATGATAGCATCACGTTCCTGAATGAGGCGATGCATGCTTGAGGCGCTATGTGTGAAACCTCCATGCAAACAAATGAAGACTGGTCTGGAAAAGTAGCAGGCTACTAAAGAGCCTCAGTAAGGAATCGGGATCAGTCGTATAGAATCCATGAACTGAAGAGTATATGCAATCGTCGCAGATGTGCATATCAGTCATCCGGCCATCTGCCGAAGCTTAAACGACAATAAAACATCAGGGTTGTCAGATACGCTGAATCACTGTGATGTCATGGAAACCATCATAATGGATAACGACACTCGGTAAGTTTGCTTGACGTTCAAGGATCTTCGCAAAATCGGTGCTGTACAACTTTTGAGTTCGGTGTCTAACGATGAAGCAGAAGGTTTTGTAAGTGTATTTTCGTATCCTCTTTGGAAGAGAGAAGAGGAGGTTCATCAGATGCTCTTCCTCTAAATGTTGACAAACGTTTATGCATACAAGTCGGTTACTATAAACTACGCCAAAACACTTATTCAGGAAAAGATCGTTCGAGACTGACTTTTACATCTTGACTGAAGGTTAGCATTAAATAAAAATTCTAGCGTACCGCCTGTCTACTTTTTAGAGAGATGTTGTGATGTGCAATAAGATTGTCCATATCCTTTTGAGAATCCTTAAATCCTAAAGCTTTTCGCAACAAATTCTACGGCTTCGAAGTTTGATCGTTTTCTCAAATATCGAAATGATTGAAGAGGCGAAATCAGTGGAGAATGTACATTGGAGAAAAAATCAGAATAGTGAAAGTCAGTGTAAGTATATATAAACCGTTGCATTTTGTACGTGTTTTATAGCTGAAGTCTACTCATTATATTACCGCATTATCTATCTTCTGAAGAACACGTATATAAACAGGTTATATCGATTGTCTACTAGCTTAGCTCATTTGGGGGACTAAATCTTGTTTTGAGCGAATACTTATCGTTTGATGATTATTCGAAGGTGAGAAGCCTAGTGCTTCACCAGGTAAGCATTCACATCTGATGTGTGTTGAAATGTCTGGAAGGTAGAATCTTCAAGTTGATCCCTGATATGTAAATTACCGCTGTTGGTAGTTCTGAACTCATCTATGACAAACACAAACCAAGGTTGATTATATCCTAAATTGCGATAAACTGTTGTGATATAGCAATGCGTCTGATATTTACAACTCTCACTTGACAGCTGAATACCCATTAGGAATGAAAAACATCTTTCAAGTGATCAAGGTGGATTAGGAAATGAAAAGTTATTATATTTGTAAATATGAAACGGAAACCGAATTGTAGTGAGTCCCAGTTTGATCACATTCCGTCCGATATTTCAATTTCATCTCGTTAGGAACTTGCAAGATCTATAACGAACAAACGGTTTTAATCAACGAAATGATGGTTAGATATATACATATAAATTTGAATCATTTCCACATCATGCTTAAGCGAATCAGCGAACGTTTTCGAGATAAGAGATGCATTCGTAAACAGGATCAGACAGTGGGTAAGGTAAATTGTCTGTGTGTCAGATATTTTAGACCGCCACATAATCAGTGTGAGATATGAATATGAGTTATACTGTCAAATAGGTTAAACTATTTGAAATAACATGTTACTTCAATCCGTCTAGTGACAGTTGCGTTTTGGCTCATTGGTCTAGGCAACTGATTTTCAATTGATATGATGCGGGCTCAAAACCTACTCCACCTACAGCAGTTTGAGCAGTCACACAGTGTCACTAACCGTCAAACAATAGGTATGGCCCATTGTATACTTTATGAATGTATCCAAAGTTGCTGGGTTAATTTATCTCTCCGATTTCTCTGTGCAACGGGTAGTAATAAACCTTCCACTCTCTCGTAGTTATGGTGAACTGGTTGAGTTCATGCTTATCCGAAGCTCTAATTTCAATCATCCTGTTGTGTATTTATATGCAAGCATTCCCAGTTATTTATTAAGTTTACTGAAAATATCAACTTACATACTACGGTCCGCATCATTACCCTTTAATGTAAATTTGTGAGATTAAATATAAGTATCCAGGTAGAAGTGATGATTAATCTTGATCTACTGATAACAAATTTCCAATCACGCAAATTGAGGGACCGTTTTGTGTAAATGTGGATCATACATTTGAAATCATCTTTTCAACAAAGGCGAGGAGTTCCAGTGTTACTCAGGTATAGTGAAGGCTATTTATATGTTTTTTAGCTCTCGCATATTAGCTTAAACTGATAAATTTCCACTCCTTCAGTTTTAACATGCAAAGTAGACTGGATCTTTTGGAAGACTAACTGAATTTACAAAAGCTTATCTTTTCTCTACATTTCAGTCACACCTGAATGTTGCAAATCTATTAATGTGGTAAATGTGACCATTAATTCAGAAGATAAACTCATTGTTGTTTGCTTCAACAAGTTCTAGGAGTTTGATCGCGCTTTCTGAACCATATCTTTTATTGTTTGTTTGCTGAACCACCTTTATGATTTACGAGTAGGCATGATGAGAGAACCAAGAATGGTTATCAACTAAGAATTCCTGTTTTAATAGATGCATAAGCTTGCTTGTTTAGAAGCTTCCATTATTCATACATTTTGAAGCCATCTAACTGTTCTTCACATCCATAACCAAAATACTTGTATTCAGCCACATTAAAAGACCACCGCAACAGATTTATCGCCATTACTCTTTTTCTATCACAAATTCACCTACAATTAGAGATAAGAAAACAAGTGAAGTTGGTTGTCAGTCATTTTATCTCAGCGTATTTCAAGCCATAATACTGTTGTATCGCAATAAAATTGCTCATATATTGAGGAGATTAACCTTGGCTGTGATCAAACAGCAATGGTATTTCTGTTATTCTTCGATCGGATTATATAACAAACAAAATTGTGATACCTGATGGCGGTGGTTTTTTAGTCTAACAGAAATCAAGGTATCACAAACCATTAACTTGACTATGAACAAACTAGTCGAACTACCTTACGACATTTTTCCAAATGTCAGTTCTAATTTTTGCACACTTCGAATGAAACTTACTCGACTATATAGTATGCAGGGCTGAAAGAAAGTGGTTCATCTTCATTAGATGAAAAGCAGGTTTAATCAGATATCAAAAATAGCTAATATTTGCTTGGAAAGATAATTGGAACTGTGGTAAAATTTCTAGGTGAATATCTGCAGCTTACTTGATCAACCATAAAGGTATACTAAAATAGACAAAATATTTGAAAGTAGGATTTGATTGTTAGAACTTGATATTCATCTTTTCCGAAGTAATTTTCCCATACACAAACACACAGTAAACTGCATTTATTCCATCAGACCAATAACTAACAGTCGTGCTTCGGCCTTCACGACTGAATCACATGCAAAGTGACTAGCATCCTTTGCAGTGTTGACTGATATCGATTAAATGCTGCGAACAACTCAGAAAACATAAGGAGAGAAGAGTATTTGGTTGATGCAGCAGAGAATACAACTGTTTTCGAAAACTTTCATCCGAGTTGATAATGACACGAGCGGTAAAAGTGGAATTCTCGAATTCCACATAGCATCTTCGGACAGGAGATTAATTTTTATGCAACAATCGGATCCTGTTGATTTGTTTCGAAATAATGTCAACTGACACAGTTTGTACTCCGTTATTTACATCTTCTAGTGGTCTGTTTCATGCATAAATGTCTTTCGAGAGTCTGTCATCCTTTTATTACGGCTGACTTATTTAATCAACACTGTCAATTTATAGTGCTTTCCATTCATCTGTTTGGCTGTCCGGCATCTCACCGAAACTTCAAGAAATCCATTTTGAGGCATGTAACTTATCCTCACAGCATGTAGTTCAACTGAAGATAACTATGGCACAGTGTGCAAACACTACAGTGTTGAGATTCGGTATAGTGTCCGCAGTTCAAATAATCACATTTACCTAGCAATTCAGACAGGGGTCTTCATTTCCTTACCAAAAGAAAAGTCTTATGTTTACATTGTCTTTGTGTCATCGATTAGCATTGCTAGCGTCACCATTTCAAGCATGCAGCACAGGATTCCTCTTGTAACTGTTTGACTAGGAAACAAAGGATCTTCAAATAACAAACGGCAAATATAGTAGGATCTAAAGGATGAATTTAATCGGAACTTACTATGGCCCAGCATTAAGGCTAAAAGCCAAATTATTTTACTTAAGTTTGAAGCAATACTCATGACAGTTTATCAGGTTAATAACCCAGTGAAGACACATTGATCATAGCAAAAGTAGTAGATGGAGAACAATCGGCAAAACGACTGAGAATAATTCAGTTTGCAGTACCTTTTCGAACATAGGATTGTTTGCGGATAGAAAGTGCGATGATATTGGAAGGAGGCAGTGGGAACCAAAAGGTACGTTTGGTTACATCAAGGATTCGTTAGACTGAACAAGTTTCGATTAAACGTCCAGTGGTCATTTAACTATGTTACAATCAAGCCTTTTTTGACTTAAGCGTCAGACATTTCTCCTACATCACTAATATACAACATCAATTGCTTTTGATTTCAACTACGTAGATAGTGAACAAGAACACCGTGTTTAAGTAATAGTAAAACGTTGGTCAGTAAACGGAAATATCGTTATACAGTTAGAACTGAATATTTATCCGTTGATCAGATGACTTTCGTAAGCAATTTCTGCAGTTGGCAATCATGCTTTGAAGAATACAATTTTAAATTATGCATGCATGAAATTATGTGTAACGAAGCTCACAGTAGTCTAGGAGACATATGAGTGAGATATTCCAGACTAACCTCACATACTAGTGTCAACGAACAGGATATGCAGGTCATGGATTGCCTACAGCAGATTGTTGACAGTCATTCGACGTCAAGTAGAATCCATTGCATTTCATAGCGATTTGGCTGAGTGATAAAATTACCAGGATGGCTAATAATAGAATCCTGGTGTTGGGAGTTTCCTATTTGTAACTGAATGATACAGACTGTTAAACAAGTGTTGTCTGGTTAGCGTGAGAATTACTTCATCTTCTATCCACAGTAATTAAACTCACATGTCTAAAAAGTTGGTTTCGGTATAGCTAAGGTGATTAAATACAATGAGAAATAGCAGTTTTCAAATGTACATAATTAGTTCCTATATACACCTTTTTAGACTGTTATTTGCATAACTGTAAAAAGTAGGCGTCATTTAATCACATTCAAGTTACATAGATGAGCTTGTGCGGCTCACAAGAAGCGAAATCTCCAGTGAAGAAGAGCTTACGAATGCTCGGAATTTCTACCTAAGAAGGTTAGTTATTGTTGAAATACTATATATTTCACGTTGGTTATAATTAGTCGTTTTGAACAACTTGGCTTCCTTTTTAGACACACTGATGGTGATACAGTTTTAATATGGCTGAAAATTACTTCGGCTTTCGATCATGCTATATAGATCCTAGTATCGTTGAGGTTTTCAAAAGTCTGAGTTACTTTTAATCTCACTGAGAGACGTATAAGAAGTTGAAATGTGAGTTCATGGGACAAAACTGTGATATACTGAACATCAGTGTCCGAAATTGTTACACTCAGACCAAGGAGTTTATTTGCTTTGCTGAATCTAGGATAAGCTGAGCCCGTCCGTATCTGAAGGAACTTATATCATCGAACGGTACTCATATACATGCAATCGAATTTATAATGCAATCAGGAGAACTCCAGCACAGGTGTATACTTAGATTTAATAAAGCTATGAATATACGTAAAACAAGCTACGTAATATGATCAAAAACATTTCCTTACTTAATTCAAAATGGTTATCTTATTCTCATGCCAACTGCATAGTGGAAATCTATTTTGTCTTTATCTTCTGTTACTCTTTGCATTTCCATTCTGGTTGTCTTTCTTTCACCCCTATCCATTAATTAATTACTTTGATGGAATATATATGGTCACAGTGTTCGACATCTCAAAAATATGTCACATTTTTCATATAAGCTGCGTTTTCATAAAACATTATGCAAATTTACAAAAGCAACAAATTGCTTCAACCATATTGTTATCTCGGCAGTCGATAGTTTAAATGTTCTTACCTTAAACTCTGGGATAATCAGGATTATCGAACAGCATTCCTTCAGAGTTTCTCAGTGTTTTGTAGAAGGTAGGTGCGCGTGAAATAAATACTTATGACTCATGAGCATAAAGACGTATATTTCCTGACGGTGTGGCGCAACCTCAATTGTCGAAAAAATATGTCTAGTTTGTTCATCATACTGCAAATATTTCTCTGCGTTAGCTAAACTATTTGATAGAAATTCTCAGCCAAAGTACTAGATAATAATTTTCCTTCCCTAGATTTTGCGCAAAACGTACAGTAATATGTAGTAGAAATGAATTAAAATTTAATAAGCTTAACGTATTACAGTGATGAAAGTAACTAGCGAAACTTAGAAAATGTCTACTTAGGAACTGTGATGTGTTTTTAGTCAGCGCATCAACTTTACATCACAAACACTAAACACATTCATTTAAAAACAACGGAAAAGATATTAGAGACCACAGAAAGTGTCTGCAAGCTTTAAAGTCCGATTTATTAATCATGCCACTACTATGAGGCAATTAATGAGTAATAAGTGATTGATTGTATAAGGTGTACTTTATATGTGCAATAATAATAATAATAAGTGATTGTTGATGATGCGAAAACAATCTTTTATTTTATGTGCATGTATGACCAAAGTAAATCTGATTTTTTGCGCCTTGCTGCTTGAATTTGTGATAATATTTACGGGTTTCACCTGCTTGCAAAGTGACTATCTATGAAGTCACTAAAACTTCGGAAATATATATTTCACTTCACTGGGATTTAAAGCGCACATTTCGTGATTCTTTCTAAACAGTGAAATGTAGTCATTTTACGGAGATGCTGATGTCAAACATCTGCCCTTTGTCCCCAGTTCAGAATATGAGTACCGAAATGGCTATCTTTTGTTTCAAACATTACGTCCTCACTTGTATTGTAGGTGTGAATCAGATTTGTAAAGCAGCTCTTTGAGTTGAGTAATTGTGGGCAAACTCTTATCAAGCGATCACAAACAAGTGAAATACATGTCCATTATTGATGAACCATAGTTCGGCTGACGGATATTACTGATTTATAATGGTAGTTTGTAAACGATGACATTAGTTAGTATTATGTGTATATATTTTTCACTTTTCACTCAAGTAGATTTAAATGACAGTTACTCTGGTGAAATTCGCATTGTTCGACACTTTTTGACACAATTTCAAACCTCAGGATAACGATATGGCTTTGCTTGGGTGTCGACTGGACGTTACGGGTGAAGGATATGAAAATTCCTTCCGTATCAAGACATATTCAACCAGATGGCAGTATATTGCAAGTAATGGAAGCCTGTAGTTTATTATTATTGAAATCATCAAGCTGACACATCAAAAGTCTAGTAGAATGAGATGATTAATCTTACTTGGGAAAATCTGGAAGTTGACTTGATGAAACATTAAGAAACGAGATATACGTTGGTGATTTCATCTTCAGTGAATGCATGAACATTTACTACGTTTAACAAAGGTTATAGGCTTTTCTCACATGTCTAATGTGCCATATCGTCACACAACCAATTTGTTTGTAAGTCATTGAATCCAGTAGACAATTTTATCGAATAATCCCGTATTCGGAAAAAGGTATCAGTTTTGATGAGTTGGTTGGGTGGGTTGTAATCTGAATGCTATCACGGGTTACTTTACAATTTGCCAAATTGAGTTGTCAAGGTATCTTATTACCCATTGGAGTGCGTGTTTAATTAGCTTTATCTTTCTCGACTTAGGAAATTAGGAGTAGTCGTTGAAAAGAATAGATGTGAAGAACCTGCATACCGTCGATTGCTGGTGTATTCGATGAATTATCTATTTGCAGTCAAGCGCAGAGGCGACTATCAACTGGGTCCAGTCTAGTAGTGAGTTTTCTGCCCTAGTGCTTAATGCTATACCCACACCTGCAAGATAGCTATTGAGTCTGCAGAAACTCGAAGGGTGAATTTTGCAGATTCATCAGATTGGCCGGGAGAGGTCAGGTAAATAACCACACTTGGGTCCTGGATGCATGTCTCAAAACACAGCACACCTCCATGGCCCGAATTGCTAGACTCTTCACCAACGAAGCTTGTTGATTAATTTGACGGAGGGAGCGGACATTGGAGACTCCAATATGTAATTTGTAGCGTGGTTTAAGGAGACCGAGGATGCTGTTCTGTGAACTGAGATCGTTGTTGAAGACTGAAGAGCTATGAAAAATTGAAGATGATGTAGTATCGTTAGTTGAGAGACGTGAAAGAAGACTAGAAGGTAATGATGGTGGAGGTTGATAGTAGTTTGAGGAAACTTGAGTGCTGATCGAGTTGTGAGGGCGGTTGACACTTCCCGGCTGCCCACACCGCGGAAGGCTATTTCTTCTTGAGGTACCTGAAAGAGATTTTTGTGTGGCCGCAGAGCCCATCGGACATCTGCTTGAGGCCTGTCACACACAGCCTTTTGTGTATAGTTGTTTCGAACTTTTGTTGTTTTGGGGCCAAATGATCGAAAAGAAACGCTAAATGAACCAACACCCCCGATCCGGCAAACCATGAGGTATGGTGGAGTGTGTTATTTTGGGGCCGACCTTTTCTAACCCCTCTTCCTTCCACTGAGAAAGCAGCACCAGCATGGTGCCGCTGGTCATCCAACGAAAACGCCTGACTGCTGTCACACACCATCCAGCTAGTAGCACTGAGACTTCGCCCTCACACCCCATCGTAGTTTAGTAATTTACACCACAACAGTAACTGCTTTTCGTCTAACAACTATCTAGCAGACCTTTCTGGTATGGTAGGACCTCCAGGGAACAAGTGTTCCATCAGCATAGATCCTTGGGTCATTGTGATATGCAAGCCCAACGACCAAGTCAAGGTAGGAGCTAACGGTCGTGTAACAGTCAACATGGAGTTAGATCATTCCACTCCAACATGTCAGTAAGGCTTAAGTGGCGTGAGTGATCTACAGATAAAGCCAATTAGAAGTACGTACCACACACTACGTTACTTGTACTTATGATACCAGCATCGATGCAAAATGCATAAATTCAGTAATGTTATGGAGTAAACTCACAAAATCAGGTATTAAGTGGAAACCATTACTGTACTTAGAGAAACGTACTCATCATACTGAGGCATTTTATAATTCACATTTCTGAAAAACATATCGAAACGAGAAAGAAAGTGAAAATTGATCCAGCAAAATATAGGTCACCACTAACCTTTAATGCAGAAGCGAGCATTGCCAAAACTGTTCACTAGCCGTACTGGCTCTCACAAAATTCATCACTTCCCAGTCATTATGCAGTTTACACTCAAATAAACAGAGGTAAAATTAGCCAAACTTGTTTGCATGCACACGCAGAAAATAAGAGCAACGTTTCAAAATGATTCAATACAAAAAACAATTAACTTCCTCTCGATATTCTAAAATCGAGTAAATATACAATGTTTTACATCCCACAAGTATGAATCGTGAATAAATTTATGTGATGGTATGTTTCATATATCCAGAGGAAACTGCGGGAAAGCTTGCTATCATTTAATGCAGACAGTCCCAGACGTGTAAGATGTCTAATTTTAGCGACTGTCCTCAGGAAGTAGTGGGATGTGGTGATTCTCCATCCTAGTGTATATTTTGTTTTCAAAACCCTTCATGAGTCGCTGTTTTGTCACCAAGTGATTCGGTTGTTTTGTCAAAACCATATCAAAACACGAACATTCGACGAACCTATGCATCAACACAACTGATAATTACAAAGTGTAATCCATGGAACGTAAAATCATTTGCTTGTGATTAGTTCTGCATTCGGTTTCCAGTCATCAACTATTACTTGTTAGTTGGATTCATCTCTCCTGTTTCTCATCCACCATGGAATCATGTTTACTCTTTTCATGTTATGCACTGGCTAACAAGCAGGTGATGACTCCCGGTTCACTTCATTGACCATTCGTTCTATAGCACACGATATTATCATTTTGTGAATAGCGTTTATTCCACTTTGACTAATCAGTCCTAATTCATTTTTGAAGATAGTAACAGACTGATGTAAGTGCTAGAAACATGTTGAGAATGTGAAACACTGGTGGTAATCACTGACTTATGGTATTGCCGTAAAATTAAATCTTTCGTGGTGAGAACTCAAATCGGCCTTATTTATTCAAACTGACAGCCAACATAGCAGTGAAACATTTTCTGAGCGGAATTCCTACCTGTAGTTTGGCAACTGCAATATGTCATTCATTATGAATCATAAATTTCAACAGATTTTGTTCACGCAGCTGAGATGAAAGCATCAAGTAAAGTGTCAAGTATAAGGTAAGTTCTAGTGCAAATTGTATGAATCTAACAAAGAACAAGTGTCAAAGGTGTATGTCATATGTAATTAATACAGATACAGAAAATGATCTTAGAATAGTTTTCTTGGTAGCTACAAACATAGCTCACAATATCCTTTGAACAATTTGTAACAGCTGAAATTTATGTGAACTATGGCACACACTAGAAACACAAAATAAAACTGCGTATTATGTCTTCCTATCCTATTTTCAGAAACATGCGACCTCTTATCCCCATTATCTCATAAATTCTTAGTTGGTAGTCCAACCTAATATGTAAGTCTACCTGACAACCTGATCCGCATAACATTGGTAAATGACAAATGATTTTCTTAATTATCTTTGCAAAACGGTCTAATTGTTCGATAGTAGATAGGATTATTGTTTCATTGTTTTCATTGTGCATATTTCCTATGTGCTGCCAATCACAAAATACTCTCTCTGTATTTCAAAACAAGGTGCGTAAATAAATTCAAGCCTTTTGTTAAGGGTGCATTCAAGATTTTATTCACCTGGTTGGAATTCGATCAATAGGGTGACTGAAAAAAAAAGGATAAAACACGACATATTTGCTGGTTTTCATTACTGACAGCATGTTGTACAGAAACGCTTAAGATTCATATCTTTATGCGACTGCTACATTTCATAGAAAAAGAGAACATAAAGAGAGTGATTTTCACCCTATTTGCTTGACATTTTAGTTAGGTATTTTTTTGATAGTCACGTCTTTGAGAAGGTGGTACCAATTCCATGTTAATTCGTTTGTTTACTATTTCAGATAGTGAAATATCATTTCAGAGATGATATCTCAGACATGGCTTATTTATTATAACAACAACAGAGGTAATTTCACATATTTCGCATCTGCTATTCAGGGTTCCACTTCTCATCCTCCTTATTTATATCAACCGAAGAATTTTATAGATGCTAGTAACATATTTGAGTCATTCCTATTGAAAAGGTTGTCTCCGTAAATAAAGCTTTTGTTTTCAAGCTTTGCGTCCACCCTACCAGTTATGATTGTTGTTAGTTGCTTACAGGCAATCAGCAGGATGCTCTGGACATGGATTTCGTGTCTGTTGTCGCTTTTCAATGTGCATCTGTAACACTGAGAAAACTGATATTCTGTCAAAAGTTGAGCCAACGCCAATCAGTGCTATAGCCAAACGACTTACCATCAGGCTGTTAAGGTTGAGCTTGATCTGTATTTGGACTAAATAAAACAGGTTGGTCGGTCATCGGAGAGTCCTTAGTGCTGTAGTAAGGTCTATGACTGAACCACTGGGTGATAGAGGTCTTGATCTCTGAGATGGTCTTCGTGCTACTGAGGTTGCAGATACATCTTCCTGACAAGAGACAATAAATAATAAACCCAGTTCCTTGGTTTTCTGGAGACTACCTCCAGCCATCCAAAATTAATCAAAGTACACCATGATGGTCATTCTTTTACCCTAGTGACCATATTGCAAAGTGATGGATAGAATTCCATTAGCCCTTAGAACTAGATATTAAGAAAATGGTTACTCTCTAGCGACCCGTTATTGTAGTGTGGATTCTTTCCGGAAAAGCTACATAATAAGCAATATTTGTGTATTGTGTGAAATATCTAGAGAAGAAAGGTAAATGAATCCATTCGATAATACAGTCACCAAGTTCTTCTTTATGCCCATGTGTTTCGAATTTAATATATGTTCTTCATTCGTATCCCACCTCTTTCATCTAAACGTTACGGCAGACACTTCATCTGGATTTCATTGTCTGCATTTTCTGAAATATTCCTTGTGTCATTAGGATTTCTATTTGTTTTCCTGAAAACCCAATCCAGCCCTTGAAATTATGCACTTCTTAAAAATGTGTGTAGTCTAATAATATCTGTTTTCTGATTGGCTTTTAGATTATAGTTGAAATATGGAAACTGTAACTTGTTCGTTCAACTATGTCCATATGTTTTAATAGTACACTGAGGACGGCATCCACATATCGATATGGATGATAGACACCAACTGACGATATCTCTGGTGGTCAAGATGTCTCACAACTGAGTGAAGTCGGTTAATAAAGACCAGTGGATCCAAACGCATCGGTTTAGTAATAAGGCTGTCAAAGTAGTCTTGTTTTCAAACCCAGGTGGAATCATATACTTGACATAAGAGAAGTTCACAATAAAGGGAAATAAGCCAAATAATGCCCTCTACTTTTCTATAACTTTGTAAAAACAAGACAAGTTATTCGATCCAACTTCATACACAGTACGTTGTTACAGTTATGAAAACATGACTCAACTTTGATGAGATATCACTTAACCTTATGCCGAAATCGCCTTCATCCCATAAGTAAACTTCACCATAAAGAGGATACAATAGAGTAGAAATGGAATGAAAAATTATGAAACTTACCGCATGTGGCCATGTGGATACCTGATTAATAGGTGAAGGAAAATATTACCTGCTAAATGTGTAAAGTGTGCTAGGCCACCTGACAACTTTTGTGTTTCAATGAGTCTTGGATCTTGCTAATAGGTCTGATGACTATTGGAACTTCTAGGATGACTTAATTTGAATGCATGTTTTTGTGTGGTTGATTTGAAGGCAGCTACTTAACATAGGTTATGCATAGATGCGTGAAAAGCCACAACTTCACGCAACACTTAATGCATCTTTTGCTGAACGACTAGGTTTGGTCTTTCAGTAAAATAAACCTTGATGTAAACCTATTCACCCATGTAAAATAGAATCTTAGTTCCCAATGAGGTTACACAGTTTAGTAACCTGGACATAGAAAAAGAATCCACGATTATGAATGCGAATGTCCCTTGTCTGTAAGTACTTTTCTAAACCGCAGTTATAATGAACAAAATATAGCTTTCATACTTGCTTGTTTCATTCATGAAAATTTGTGACAGAGAGAAAGACCGTATTCGTCTATATACTTCGTTTACTTCCCAATGTTTAAAGTATACCATATGTTTTCAGTAGGTTTGTGACGACGAAGAGTTTGAGATATGCTTTTCATTGAAAATATTCTTTGGTAAGATCAGAACAAGACACGTGAGCCAACAATATTTGTTCACTTATATCTCCTCAGGCTCCAATATAATATATATTATTCTATTTATCTACCAAACAATAAACCATAATAATTTTTGTGTCCGTTGCAACTTGACAGTAAATATGCACTAGTTGAATTGCAAGATAATAACAACAATGTCAGTACTCATCATGTCGACAACTAGAATATTGAAAACAGTGTGGTACTGTAGTATTTGACAATAAGTTTAGTTCTAAGCTTCAAAGAAAGATCCATTATACTGGAGGATCAACCGTATAAACAGCAAGAATCTGCTAATACAGACCCTAAAATCATCATAATTCATATAACTTATGATAAAAAAGATATATATACAATCTTAAGGCACGAGGAGATCGAAGTGAATACCTTTCTGAAACTTTAATTGTATGTAGAATCTCCGTGCTTCTCCCTACAGTTTTGATCATGTCCACATAAACAATTCAAAATGATCATAGGCGCATGCATTAACACTTTCAGTGAAAGTTACAACCGTATGCTCTACATCATCGACCAAATTCTAATCTAACAGTACTTTTCAATAATTTTACGCCTCTGCAATGCATGAATTGTTAAAGGATAGAAATAAGGTTATGGATCATGAAAAACTTACTCTGGAAGTCTGTATCGTTTGGAAAATATCTTTCTTATTTATCTATTGTGAGGTATACGAACTTATCCACAAGTAACTTTCAATGTATACTTAATACAATTTTGTACACCAGACAAAATAATGCAGTTATAAAACCATTATGTAATAAGTGACTGACAGAAAATTCTGTGAACCACAAGACTTCACAGCACGAGTCTCCATGATAGTTGTTTCAGCTTTTACATTGGTAGGTTTTTGATGCTAAAATTACCTACCGCATGGTATTCTTACTCTTAAAGGGCACGAATCAACAAAATACTTCAAACCACACTTTACTGAATGGACGTAAGTTTCCTAACAGTTCTGTTACTTTACTTGAAGTGAAGACTCAGCGAATGATTATTTTCGTCAAACTTATTTCCTTTCAAACCAGTTAGTTGTAATATACTGTAATAAAGATAATCTTCCGGAGTTCTGAATATCTGGCCAAATGATGGAGTTGGTTAACTTTAATCTTTTAAATTAGCTTCAACATATGAAGTATACCATAGATGAATACTAACAGGAACTCATCCTTCATTCAATTATAGATCCTCAGACGATTTCGGTTATGCGCTCAGGACTGAAATGGGGGGGGGGGGCGTGGGTCAAGAATTAGAGAATAACTTACTAAAATGTATAGGGAATTTTTGTTATCCTTGTAGCATGTGCTTGCAATTTTTTCAGCAAGCATTTTATTCAACTGTTCGTAAGTGTTGGCTTTCTGTTCACGTGTGTCTGTCATTTTCGGCGGTCATGTAGCGGACTGCACTAGCCATTGGAAACAAGTCCTTCAAAATTGCTTTGTAAAACAGGTTTCGTTAATGAAAGATGAGTAAACAATGGCAGAATTATCGATTTATATTGCTTGGTGAATCCCATTTGTACTACTCATCATGAATCCTATTTTCATGAAATTAATATGTTTTACTCAAACACCTGTGTTTCTACAGCTTTTGTATCGATAAAACTTGCAGGATAAGCGTGTATAACAATTTCGGCTGTGTTCAAGATCTTTTGATAAATTTTCCTGCCTATCTTGACCCTAACAGTACCTTCTTTAGTCCCATTTCACTTCATAATTCTATTGTTGTTATGCACATAAATTTTTCATACGTTTTGATGCTATCACGTATATCATGACTGTACATCTTTCCAGCATAACTAATTGACCTTTTGTCAATGATGAATACGATTGTGCCGATTGTTTATAAAATCCTTTGAAAGAAATATTTCATCTCTCAAAAAATATTGCTCCATATCATTTTCTTTGCAAACCAAGATCAGTTTTCTGGTTTCGATTATACTTTAAGTAAAATTGCCCGCTTGTTACATCATCGAAACGTAAACGTTTTCCTAAAACTTACCGACAGTACACTTCGATTATTCTAGGATAGATAACTTCGCCATGCACATGTTTTGTAAATGAATAAATTACTGATTAGACAGACAGTTTCAGCATTACAGTTTTTCCAGTCTTTTTTCTTATGATTGACTCTCTGCGTAGACCGTATAAGGATATTTTTCAGTGTTTCCAGGAAAATTTTAAGATAAAGATTAGCCATTTACATTCATGGCAGCTACGACTAACATATCAAAAACCTGCCATCAAAATTGTTGCATTTCTTGTCCACGAAATGTGTACACTTTGCACATAATAATGAATGATTAAAACCATAATTTACTTTTAAGACATCACATGCTTTGCTACAGTGAAGATTGATAACCTACACAGGGCTTATCTTTTTGTTGATGTTCTACAGATCGACCAAGTGAATATCTTGATGACTGAAAGGTACTTCGTCATTAAAACTGAACAGTCGTCAACCAAAGCTTTGCCGTTTGACAATCAGTTATTTTTTCAGTAATATATGTTCATGGTTATAAGTGTCTCAGATCAAATTGTTTTTTTGCGAAAGTAACTAATAATGAGCCAGTCAATCAAGATAATCTTCAGAATTTATGATAAATATTGAGGGAGCGTGTAATCAGTGAGTTTAGGAGTAATGACTTGTAGACGGTGGTGTACTAAAGACATGTTCTACCAGACCGTTAATCAAATATAGCTTTAAGAGCAGTTCGTTGGTTACCAGTTCCGTTACACAATGTTAAAGTGTTTGTTACACATTCTATTATAAGAAGATTTTACTACGATAACATAAGGGTTTTAAAAACAGCTGCAGTACATTAGTGAATGTCTTTCTAGCTATTACCTTCAGGATTCGATCCTATAAGTTAGCTACCACTGTTTTGGTTTTTTTAATTTCGCTACCTGTCATGATATCATATCAAAAATACCATTTTTAGGCTCCAATAAAAACCGTCGGTTTTCAAGTTGAACATAATAACTAGTTTACTGAACAGTACTATGGTTTGATAGAACAAATAAGATCTCAAAAACATTCTTACTCGAATTCCGGTGGTTCAACTAAAATGTGATCAAAAGTGTTTTCAGCATACAGTACAGATTATAAACAAGCTTCTCATTTTTTTCTTAAAACAGCACTAATTTGAACGATTATCTGACAGTTCATTCAGATTAGTCACGTCAAGAATAAATGAAAGCAGTTACCATTTGTTTTTACTTTAGCGTTATAAGACACTGTAGTTTTCATTTATTTTAACACGTTATCACTCGTCATTATAATGATTATATTTTGCATAGTTTTTTCTAAGACTCACGTCGTCCGTTAACTGAAAAAGCAGTTAAAATTGTGCAGACGAGAACGAAATATGTTGGGAGGATTTTCATTTTGCAACACTTTAATCAAGTTGATAAACAATGTAGGCAAACAGAAATATTCTTTATATGATATATATATATATATATATATATATATATATATATATATATATATGAGCAAACACACGTTTCAGGTCTGATAAAATACTTCTATGGTTTACGACCAATTGAGTAAACTGGATCTACAAATAAACCATAAAAACAATGATGGTATCACCAACAAACTATAAGCGAATATGTGAAACAAAGTATCTAATAAAGATTAAAATAATTTGTTTCAATATTTACCCTAGTTTTTCTTTCTATGTATATATATATGTAATTTGATAAGGCAAACTTTATATTTGTTTTTGTGTGCATAACAAACGATTTTGCTAATGTAAATGAAAAATATACCCCAGGGAGCTTCTAAGCTATTTTTTACGAGATGAGCACACGCAAACCATTTAAACACGAAATTTTCACATCATCATTTGACTTTTTCATTCAGTAGAACTTAGTTCATAACCTTAAAATTACTGCGCATTCACTAGGTTTAGAAAAAATGGACATCTTTAGTGAAACTTCCAACCGGTCTGATAGAATTTCATGCATTTTCACTACCAAGTTTCCAATCTTATTACTGAAATTATAATCCTTGAATTTCACATTTCTTAGATTTCATTTTAGGGTTTCTGTTTCGAGATTCATCGCCAGTTGATGAATGATGATTGATCAAGTTCTGAGTGGTCAGTAAAACCTTAAGTCTGTCGATCAGTTTACAATGGAGTAACTGAGCTAAACTGTATAACACCCCTTTGTAGTATTTTCGTTTCAATCAAAAATTAAGTATTAGTAGAAATGAAGTGCGGCTCAACTAGAAGTCCTAGAAACTAATTTTGACTTAGTAAAGCTTAGCAGAAACCTTCTCTTCACCAAACGTAATCATACTCTGCTAAAAAGCTTTTTAATCTACTACCCAAACGTTATGACGTTTCATATTCTCAAATTATATTACATGCGATATTCGGGATTGGCGAACTTCACAACTGTTATCAGCCCAAAATATTAAAGTATTCAGTTGATAGTGGCAGAGAAACATATGTATCACAAGTATATCCTCCATAGTGTTTCTTGTTTTTTCACTTTATCTACACCCCCTAAGTCAAGACACGAAGTATGCCAAAAAAAACCACTTATATGACTGACACAATACTCTGTCATAGCATTTTTGCTAACAAATGGATAAACTAGAGAGACAAGTGAAATTTGTAGGAAGTTTTTCATGAAGTTGGGGCTTACTTATCACATTTTATTGAATAAACAAAACTCCAAGACTTAAGATACCTTATCACTGAGTGAATAACACATCATTTCTTGTTGTAATCACAGATTTTGCTGCTGAGCTTTCAGAACGATGGAAATCCTTCATTGGAATAAGCTAATTCGAATTAACAGACACCTGCTAGCTACTGATGACATGGTCAGTTTAATAATAATGACATTTCATGCTCCAAGTTTGCACTGTAAACATTATTATTCTTAGGTTGAAAATAAACTTTTTTGATGCAACTTACCCACTTAATCTTCCCGATAACAATATGCCGATTTGGCATTAATTACAGTAAAATATTAACATCTGCTAATACTAAATGAATAAGACATATACTGTCGGTGGTAGTATTACTACGAATGCTTTGATATGTTCATAACAATCAGCACCCATGTCATTAAAGCGAATCAATAGTTAATACTGTGTGATGATTGAAGGTGAGATGAAAATTTGGACCACGGCCGGGTGCGAACCAACGACTACCGAAATTCCAGCCGCTGTCCAAATTTTCATCTCACCTTCAATCACCATACAGCATAAATACTAGCCTGCCAAACTACAGCTGTCTCCGATAGTCAAATGATAATCAATAGTTGTAACGAAGAGTCAATCCAAAGAAGTAGACTGATTCCGATCAAAACCTTAGGCTACATGGATTCTATTCACATGGCGCTTAAATTTATCCATGTGTTATTTTGAATAAGGTTAAATTTGTTGAACTTTTAGGGAAAGTTACTATGTTAGTAGTCGTTATAGTTCACTAGCTAAACATATTAATAAATTTAAGTAACTCATCGTCTTGAAAAAAATAGAACTGATTCTTTTAGTGTTCTGATTTTCAACATTACTACTGGACAGTTTGAAGTGTTGTATCCTGTCACTCAAACACACGTATATATATATATATATATATATAAATATATACTTATCTCCGAATTCCGTGGAGCTTTGTGGAATAATGACGTTTCAAATGCTTTTAAGTAGAGTATTTATTGATATATTCAGATGAATTCTATTCAGAATTCGTTTATGTAAAAAAAAATATGGTTCCAATACACCATGAATTTCTTAGTACACAGTTTTTGATGGAATTCACGTGAAAATAACCCTGAAAAGTCTGAAAGGCTTTTATGACCTGAACTGAAGATTTGTAAAGGAAGCCTTTCAGTAAGTTAACAAGTAAAGATTTATAAATTCGTAGAATTTGATTTGGTCTAGACAGAGAATGTTTTGATATAATAGTTGCTTGAAGACTTCAAAATAAGGCATATAAACGGATTTTACAGTGTGATGATTCCTGGCATCAAAAATCTATTTTATTACAAAACGACTTCATTCACCATCGTAAATGGCTTTTATCTGAAGAAGTTTCTATTCTTTGATTAAAATACATGTGATATTATATTTCACAGATATAATAGGATGTACAAAAATGCCAAGGTTGGCGATTTACTGTCACATATTTTCTGAATAAGAGACTTTAACACGGTGCTTTGCTTGAACCCTGGGCTACCAGATTCATCCACCGAACATTTTTCATCAGATTCTTTTCTTACAATTTGCTTTAAACTTTCAAATGTCATTTGAATGAACCATGTACTCTTGCAAATTTTTAAACTGTTTCCAACTCTCCGTTTTTGGAGTCATTAACAAAGCGGCGAAAAAATGTTACGTTGTGTGGAAATGAACTTTTCGGTGCAAAAAAGTACATCATATTTCTTTCCGTCAGATGCTTAGTTTCGGTTGCAGATTTTTGTACCGTCTGAATGAATCGCTACCACCAAAATCACCCTTGCATTTATGTTGATTCTTCATTACGAACCGGATGCCCATCCAAAACCAGCTAGCCATTTCATATTATTGCCTTGAATACTGTTATTATTAACATCACTGCGATGCAATAACCGTTTCCTCCGAAAGCATTGTTATAAGGGTGAATTTGTTGAAAGTTTACAAGCTGGGAATTCCATACTGTCATACATATTGTTCAAAATAAAGCATTTATTACAAAGAATAAAAATCAAGTGGTTGGCGCTTAGCATACAAAAGAGGCAATATGGTCAATGTTTATAATCGTTGAAAAATATTTAGTTATTTGGACTATCATTGGAGACAAAGAACCCTATATATATATATATATATATATATATATATATATATACTTTTTTCTACCCATGCTCTTAAACCCAAAACAACAAATGGATTCCAACTATAAGTTCAAGCCAAAACAGATAGGTATTCTAACCAAGATATCAATTTCTGAGGCAGGATGTGACCATGTAGTAACATTTATCTAAGTCGAGACTGGATTTCGAAACTAGTTGCAGCAGGAAATTAAATGAAGTCTTAGTGTTAAGATATGATATAAATCGTTCACCGAACCTCACTATTTAATGGTAACGGTTAGCCCGGTTATGCCCGTAATACTGAGACGATTCAATATAGATGCGATGAATTCACCCTGTTGACTAATTTTAGAAAACGAGAGACTTATTTAGCACTTTTATACTATTGCCTGTACGCAGTTGCAAAACAGGCAGGTGTGTAAGTAACTCAAAGGCTTTAAAATACTATCTCACTTAGACCTTACCTAAAACGGAAATTTACACCTTGGGTATGTATCATGTGTTGAATTTTTTAAAAACTTTTGTGTTTTAATCCCAATCAAAATGTTCGCAGGGAATTAAAATGTCAGTTTTACTTTAAAGTTGCTTTCGGAGAAATTGATGCAATCTAAGAAGAAAATGCTACCAAAGCTGGAAATGTTTTTGCTCAGTCCCAATGGTTCTTATACAAATATAATTGTAATTCACTGCTCTATTTTACCATCCAGTTAAGTATAACATACAAAGAGACTGCAGAGGCAACTGTCTCCAGTTCCACCGCAACACAGTTTTTGCTTCATTCTTGATAAAAAATTTCTGATATCCAAATAAATCAGACTACCCACGAAGTTTGGTACAGTTGAATCAATACCCTATCAAAACTGCGGATTTTAGTTTTTTTGAGCAAGTTGAACTACGATACAGTCATTAGTATCTGATACGAATGGTTATATTCTGTAGACCAACCACTCAGTATAATCACTGGTTTCATATCTTTAACTCATGACATATATACATCCAATGTAGACAACGTGAACATCTAACACAAGATACTTTGTGAAAATTACAGAAAAATCTCCCTTTCTCTAGCTGCCACCCCAGCCATTATAATATTTGTTCACTCCTCAAAATATTCTATTTGAAAACTTAGATTATAGATTCATGCCATGCACGAATTTGTGTTCAAACAATCCTTAACCCAAAATTATCCATCGCTACTTATACATCACTCTACATGTTTTTTTTAATTGGCTGACTGAAACGAGTTAATGTAATCTGATTCCTTTTGTCAACTAACAAATTTGTTATGCATCGAGTAAAATATGTTTGCAAACGCAAATGTAATCTGGGTTATATTTATGTAACTTTCCATATAAACTATAAATAATAAACTAGGCTTTCAGGATGATCAGAATTACTTAAACAGATCTGAATCATGAATGCGCTTATGATTGGCGTAGCTCTTATTCTTAGCTCCTTCCTTTCACACGGTAAGTATCCAGGACTAAATACACAATGCATACACAAATATCAGCATGTTTTTTTTAAAATCCAATGGTTTCAGTTCTCTACTCTCGCGCAGTAGTCTGGAATACCACAACGGAGTGAAATTAACTGAAAAATACGTCACCTGTTTGAATGACTGATTTTCAACGTTGTGCATTTGTTGCCGTTAGAAAAATACTGAAACTCAGTGGGAACTTGTTACCCATTTATTTGCACTGTTGACATTTTATCAGCTGTACGCCCATGATTTATTCAAGAACCACACTCAAGATCTTTATTTTAATTTGACAAGAAGAAAATGAGTCTACTCGTAGAAAAGAAATCAATGTTCTATTCTACGATGCTTTTATGTGTTGCATATCCAATCCCAGATAGCAACAAAAACCTAAATACTGTCTTTGTTGGCAGCTAGCGACTTACAGAGACAGAAAAACATCATGAAGTACCTCAGTAATAGGAACTCACTTGAGAAATAGTCGACCCCACCTCGTGGTAACCCCGTAGATCATGAAATCCGGCTTTCACATAAAATAATTTGTCTTATAACTTTTGTTTTAAAATTCGTCACCATTATTTTATTTCCGATTCCATATAGTTGTTCCAGGCACATGACACTAGTAGAAATCTCCATGTGAACGTAGTACAGTGTCTTAGATTTTTTAGTAAACTACTTTGCAGCTAACCAGACGAGGTTACTTTTCGTAAATGACATCCTAACCAAAAGGAAGCCAATTGAATGTAATCATAATATTTTTTCCAAGTGACTCATAATTAGCTTGTATCAGTAGTCATGTAGACAAAACCTTAAATTCAAGCCCTCAAAGTACCACCTTTAAGACAGTAATTGCTTAAGCAACTGGTTTTACTAACTGATGAACCATGTAATAAAATGTAACTACTTCGCTTCACCCATATAAAAATTCACTGATTTCGAAATTTAGACGAAAGACAAGCTGGACAGTATCAATTTACTTTTTCAACAAGATATATAGAATAACCAAAAAAAAGGAATTGGTCTTCAGTATTGTTTTGTTCATAAGTAAACACCCATCGATTTATAAAACGATGCCTAAAATTTCCGCATTAAGTCCTTAAAATCGTATAGTAAAGTTTATAATGAGGTGAAAGGGATTTTGTTTGCTTAGGAAAGTAGTAAAATGCAAAGAACAAAAGGGGAGCAAATCTAAAAGTTATTGTAATACTGTTTGCACAAGTAAATTTAGTTTTTAATAAGGGACCGTTAGTTGTTCAGTGTCAATTTAGTGCTTTTTGGAGAACATTGAAAAATTTCATAACAGACCTACTGTTAAGAGAGCAGTTTACCGTTTTACTGAAGTGACACCTTCCAGAAAATTGTGTAAAATTTATTCAGCACTTTTATCCACTTGATTACTGTTATTTTGTTATTTAGTATATAGCGAACAAAAACACAGGTGAGTTCACTCATTATATCTGATAATAAAAATACATATTGAAGATATTTCTCAAAAGGTACACATTATCATTATAAAGGTTAGAGAGTTAATTTCCGACGCATATTCTAGTATATAGAATTTATTCCCAAACCGATTCTACTGCGTATATTTCTCTTAGGTTGAAAGTTTTATAACCATCCCCCTTTTCTGATAAATAAATATATACGATGAAAAGATCTTAAGAATCAAAAATTCTCACTGATGGTGTCATCAAGAACAGTATTTTGATAAAAATATTAACAAAACCTAAAAATTGGATCATTGTCTTGAAATATTGATTTTAAATGTGTTAACAGTAGACCGATACATTCCAAAATTCACAATTTCTTAGTTGATCTAATTAGTGTAGCCTTCTCTTGCATAAAATTCGTCCATAACCTTCTTGCTACCCTGTGAAAACATGTAGGTAAAAGCAGCTTAAAATGCTGAAATACATAACATTATGGACTACTGTAAGATTGCTTGACTTCTGAAAGTGCTCGTAAGGTGGCATCTTATTCTGGAACTATTCTCACTTAACATTTCTAAAGAAAAATACAGTCCATCCCTGATAGCTATTGTTTCACCTTTTTATTGGCTCAGTTATGTGCATAAACGACTTCGCTGCATTTGTAAGTGATCTGAACTTCGATTGCTGGGTTGGTTAACTTAATCCTTTATCCAATAGACATTTACCATCACCTCAGGCTCATATTAAGTATATCTTTTACTTGTGATATCTCAGTAACTGGTCTCCAGCACTCTGCTTGTTAACGTAGTTATTAACCTAAGATCACCTAGAGTGATTCGACAGGGTACATGAAAGATAAACCATGAACCGGACTTTGAAGACCACCGTTATTCTCTTATTGTAAACTGAAGTCAAGAAAAGATATCGAAATTTAGTTAATTCATCACTTTCTTCCTTATTTTAACTAAGAAATAGAATAGTGAAACAGCCCTAACAGTGCTACTATCTATTAAGACTACATTCTTGTAGATGTAACTATTAATATTCATCACACATAGAGAAGCTAATTTATTCCATTTATACTGAGTTTCTAAAGAGAAGGCTGATCAGCTAGGCGATAAAATCTCTATTTTCAGTTGGCTCCATTTGCATTTTGTCTGCAGATGATACTGACTGAAGAAGAACTAGAAAACCCTTCATTACTGTTTACTATCGAATATGCTCTAAATTGATGTTGGAACCCTAACGAACAGCTGACAGTACTTTCTCGATCATCCATTAAGCTAAAATCTTTAACGACATACTTTTTTGACAACCATAGATTTACAAACCTCGGTTTTTTGAATGAAACGTAGGTCGTAAGACTTGTAGAAAGTCATTATTTTGTTGTAGTCACTGATTAACCATTGTCATTAGAGTAGTTTACTCAGTGAATTTCTGATAGATAGGCTGGGAGCAGACGAATGCGACAAACGTCTCATGCAACTGCACGCTGAGGCATTGTTCAGATTGTGTAATAATTAACAATTCAAAAGGCTGTTTCAAGGAAAACAGAACAACTTATCATTTTATTTGATATGACACAAAGTCATGCTGCAATCCTTGACCAGTAAATAATACTGAGACCCCATAGGTTAGTTCGAATGTATCTACCAAGTATGGAATTACACCCAACTACAGTGTCCAAGAGTTACTCTCACATTTATTTGTGCTCAGAACAAACTCACTTCATTTATTTTCCCATTGATATCATTTACATAAAAATCAAGAGGGAAGAACTTTATCAGTAAAACTCAACAGACTAGTGTTGGACAACAACGCTATGAATTCCAGAAAGAACATTTTTAGTGTCCCATGTTTATTTGTTTGTTGGACATTTCATACTGTAAAACAGTATTATGTGTTAGATGGCGTTTCGAACAGAATTCACTATCTATACCCATATCAAAGGTAAATAGGTTAGGACGACTATCTAGTGTCTAATCTAGTTCAAGGAGCCTCCAAAATAAAGTTGCAAGCCTTGAAAGAAGTTAGTGATGACGGACCACAGTTGAAGTCAAACACCCAGAACAGGAATTAAACTGAAGGACGGAACTACAAAGGACATCTTCACGTCAGTCATCACGAAAACATGGGAGACATTGACCAACATCATTGAAGGAACCTCGTGGAAGAACACTAGAACTCTGCGAAAGCGACCCGGAAGGAAACCTGATTAACCGTATTAGGAAGGAAGAAGAAACAAGACAAGACTAGGAATGGATCCCAACGGACACATGGAAGCTGATAGAGGAGGGAGAGGAAGATGTTGAGGCAGAAGGTGAGCCAGTGCAGTGCAGTGCAGTGAGTTCAGGAATGAACAGCGACAAGAGGAACTGAGTGCAACCTACAAAACACTACACTGGACAAAGAAGTGAAGAAGAGTGTGCGGAAAGACAAAAGACACTTCTACGACTCACTGGCAACCGAATCAGAACAGGCTGCAGTTAGGAGAGATGGAGAGAGACGAGACAACATTGCATCAAATAACCAGGCTACTATCTGAGAGGGAAGAGATCAACGCAGATGGGACCAATGAAAGATCGTGAAGGAAACCTAGTTACCGAAGAGGAGAAACAAACGAAACAAAGGCCAGAACGGGCTGGCTGGCTGGCTGGCTTCACGAAGAACAAATCTTGTGCGGACCAACTTGCAATGCTACGCTACGCATCATCATAGAACAGAATATAGAATGGCAGTCAACTCTTCCCCTCAATAGCATTGACTTTGAGAAGACCTTGGATGCAGTCGACCAAGAAGTAATCTGGTAGCTGCTGCTTCAACATTATGGTTTCATTGCACCAAACCTTGGTCAACCTCATTCAACAGCAGCTATATGTGATGTGAGGATGCTACATGCCTAGTGATTAACAATGGAAGGCTCAGCTCAGTGACGCGTTTGAAGTGAAGACAGGGGGCAGGAGTGAGACAAGACAAGACAAGGTTGCCTACTATCACCAGTGATCTTCCTGATTGTGTTCAACTTGACTAGACTGGATCATGCAACGAACCGTAAGGAGCCAATAGATTGACGTACTCTGGTTGATAGACCCTAGGAGATTTGGATTTCGCCGATAATGATAGATGTCTAATGTTGCACAAACTCAAAGATCTACAGACGGAAACCAACAAGTTGGCAGAAGAGGCGGGGCAGCGAAGATGGGACGTCATGTGAATGTAGAGAAGACAGAGGTGATGAAGATACCCAAACACCAGCACCACCACCAACAACAACAAGCACCAATCACCATCAGTGTGAGAAATTTAAATGAAGTTGTCTGTTTCACCTACCTATCTATACAGCATACTTTCAACTACAGGCGGCACAGGTGAAGGTGTCGAAGCCAACATCGGAAAGACAGCAAGACAGGTCTTCATGAAGCTGAAATCAGAGTGAAGATCCACTACAATGTACTGCACCACACTCAGCATAAAGCGTGTACAGGATCCGGATTTCCAACACCAATGTCAGTCAAGTCAGTGCTTCCATGTGATGGCTGGGAGACTTAGCGCGTTACCAAAGCATTTCCAACAAACTACAAACATGCGTGAACAGTTGCCGCCTACGCTCACTCGATACTGAAGATAGGGATCAGATGGCCAGAATAATAAGAATGGGCAACAAGGAACTGTTGCTGGCAACGAACCAACTGAGAACCCATCACCCAACAGATGTGCAGAAGAAAGTGGAGATGGACTGGACTGGGCATACACTGAGAAGATGGTTTGGGGATATCACGCGCCAGATCAGGCGGTCGGGTGGAAACCAAACGGGAAGGGATGAGTTGGGCCATGGAGGCGAGGGGGACATGAAGGAGATCGTGTGAGTAAGAAATGAAAGCTTCTGGGTAGTGGTGGAGCTAGGTTGAAATGACTGCATAGGACACAGTGAAATGGCGGCATGCTGCTGAAGCTCTATATTCCCTTAGGTACGCAAGGGACAAATAATAAAATAATTGTGGATTAGGCAAAAAAATGAGGTATTTGCACAAAAAATCTGCGAAGATATGTCAGATTTGCAAAGGAGACACTAACAAGTAACCAATATCTTCTGAAGTTTATCGTTTGGTACAAAACGATTCAACGTCGCTTACTACTCAGTATTCTGCTCCCAGAATGGACGTGTGTTTCACTGTGCTGTAAAGGCGGGAATCAAACAATGTGATTTTCAGATGAATTTTTAATTGAGTTATCAAAAAAGATACTACGCAGCCAAGCTCATTATTATAGATAAAGCGAATCCCAATATAAATGTCATCTCGACATAGATGATTTCATCATATCTTGTGTGTGTCAATTTGCGTGTGCATATGTGTGTGACAACTACACTGGGAATAATAATCGAGCTATGAACTTCAGGGTGGTGGAATAGCACTAAAAGACGCCGGTTTGAATCTCAAACGGGGTTTCAGATTCATCAAGTTTGCAGATACGTTTTACCGAAGAATACCAGGAGGCATGAAACCTAGGTCTAAAGCCTCCTATCGTGTGCTTCTATCTAATCAACGTCTATAGTGGAACGTATCCCCAAATGTCTTGAGAAAAAATGACATTCAAGTGGTTCGATAAATTCAGGAGTAGATAGACATAATCGTCTATGAGTAAACACAGTGTAGAAGACGGTCATGGTATAAGCTATAAGAAAATACATACTACGTTTGTGTATTCAAAAAAATGTCTTTGTCTTAAACCTGAATTGGTATTCTTTACCTCGGTTCAATACCAGTGGAGGTATGAAAATGTATCATTCCTACCTATCGTCCTCTTTTCAGGCCTCGTTTTATCTTTACTCGCCTTATCCTATTCTTCTTTTACCTTTCATATAAATATGTGATCAAATTATTCAAAATGTATCTCGCAAATACATCAAATTTCCCAGACAAACTTTACCTTCTCCCTACATTACGCAAAATCATAAGACAGAAAAATTGTTCGAAATTTTTTTATTTTTGACAATTTTTCGTTCCACTGTTCCATTTTAAAACTGATTGCTTCAAATATAAATGGCATCGAGAAGTGAAGACCTTAAATCTTAATGGCCTGAATGAATCCTAATGACCAAGTACATCAATAACTGAGAAAGAAGTTTTCATTAGATAAGTAACAACTTTGAAAACAAAAGGAGGTAGGAAAATCTTTTAACTGAAATTTCTTCATGAGCGCTCACTTCCGAGGAGTCCCGTACTAGGAAGAAAAAGGTCTTTAATGCTACAAAATTCTTATTGGCCCTCCAATTGATGTCCATTCGTTATAAATACCAATATTTCAATAAATTGCCACAAACGTCCATTTCGGATTGTTTGTTGTTCTTGCTTTGCTAGAATATATAAAGGGAACTAACCATATAGACATTTTTCCCACCCTACTAATTTACCGGTCAGTCAGCCAAGTGATATTTCGCATCCTACATCTCACAAACACTTCCCCAACCCTTTTTATTCGTAAGTAGTGGTGGGAAAATTTGAACGAGCGACTGGGTTTTATAAAACGAAATTAGTGCTCATTCACTAACATTCACATGTTTACTTCCATCAGTAAAGCATTTGACTTCGGACATAGATATAAAAATGTGTTCTTTATGATTAAATAAAAGCTTCATCCACCCTTAGCTATGATTTGTTGCAAAAATCAAGAAAATCAAGAAAAAGTAATAAATTTCGCTCCACTTGTGATAGGATGCTAAGATAAGGTATCTTTTTATTTTATAACTTACGGGTCATAAGTTCAAACCAAGCTACACCTACCAGAGTGAGGGAAGCGAAATGGTACTGTTAGCCCTTTACCATACGATAGGTATGGCTCTTTGCCTACTGCATGAATGTGCACAAGGTCGATAGGTGAATTACGATTAGAAGGAAATATTTTAAATTTTAGCATATCGTTTCTTTAGATATCATTCATTTACCCTGTATTATTTCCAACCACTAAAGTGATTTGGCTCAAATGTATTAAATGTCATATAATCTTGTACAGAGTATTATGTTTATTTGTTTAGGGCTTGTCAGGTTATAGAATAATAAATAAAACTGAATGATAAACATCTTTCAGTAGATTTTTCCCATTGTTTTCTTGTATTCTTCCACAGAATTTTCAGATGCTTATCCTTAGGTCCCTTATAAAAAAGCCCTATGAACCCTTGCCATAGATTTTTTTCCAACGTCAGCTATAAATTCCAGTCAGAGGAGTCTATCTTACTTCAAGTCTTTTGAGTAATTCATGAACGATTTGAAGCATCTTATATCACTGAGTAGGAAGAACAAATACAATAAAATTGGGGTTCACAAGTGTGTGACATTATGAAGTGCTCGCCAATTTTACTTCTTTATTTTTATATTCTTATGCAGATTCTGACTCAAAATGCAGCTGCTGTTGACACCATATTCACTAATATATCTATATTTGTGTAGAACTTCATTATAAGACTACAAGATAAACTGTATTTCACTAGCAGGGGCAAAATGTGGATTATGAGAAAGTGGTATTTAAATAAATAAGTCTTTGATTTTCATAACCTTAGTCTACAAACATATTTTAACACTAAAAATTGTAGGGAATAGTAGCCTAGTAAGATGAAGTTAACTTGCGAATCAGGCTCACAAAAGAGAGAGTTACCAAGATTTTTATGGCTTAAAGGACTGTTGACTAACAGTTCAATAACCTAGCACATATTTTTCAAACCTGCATACAAAACACTACCGTCTTATGCATAACAGATAAGACAAACTGTCAGTAAGACTATTTTAACTCACCTGATTTCACGGCTAGTATTTTGCAGCATTCACCAGCATTTCAACATGAATTTAACTTTATATATTCTATCAACCTAAAAGAATTTGGAAAACGTTGGGAAAAGTGCTGGAGATTGCTGCTTGGATGCTGACAATGAATTCATTACAGCATAAGGGATAAAGTACAGAGGTCTAAGAACCTTTTATAAAAATAGGTTGATTTTGAAAAATAAATATCTGATTGCAGCCAGTACCTAATAGCATTAAGAAAGCAATAAACTGACTCATTCCAGAAGGTTTAAATAACCTAAAATAATTCTTTTACAGGGAATTGTTTTTATGTACTCATTGGCAGGGAGGAAACATGGAAATTTAAATTTGCAAATGTATTTAAATTCTTGGAAGCCTTAAACATAAAGGTGTATTCAAAATCTGTGGAAAACTAGGAAATGATTATTTTGCACTGAACAGATTGACTTCAACAATAACGTTAAATCATTCTTTCTCGTTCACATAACGTCAAAGAGTAATCTAATAACCTTTCAGATGTAATTTATTCAGTCATATTTTTTTAACCAGAGTAAAAAATAAGGATTCGAGACTGGTGAAAAATAATTTGCCTACTGGAATGTATTTTCTGATAACAAACAAAGTGGCTTATTTGTCTCACATACTCCATCTTTGGAATATATAAGATTTTAACAAGGTTTGATATGCAATTAATGGATTATTATGCAAAGAATTATAAAACGTACATTTCATTTTTTTTCTAGGAGTCTTGAAGTTCATCTAAACGGTTCACCGTGAGTAGTGTCATCAGTTTTAAGTGAATGCTAACACTAAATGAATATATTAATGTTATTAAAACTGAAAGTACTCACACACTTTATATCACGAGTAATTCTTTCTTGATTTTAACACTCACTTGTGAATCACTTTTTCAAAATATACTCAGAACATAGTAAAAGGTGTTAAAGTGAAAATAAAGCTAGGTAACATTTTTGATTTATCCCTACATTGGTATTACTGTAATGATGACTTCATTGGATACTGTTTGTAGAATCACCTTCCAAAATGGGATTGATAGGCAGCATTTGATGTTTATGAAGTATTTCAGGTGTAGGTTCCTCGAAATATCATTAGAATATCCATGTTTTGTCATTACACCTACAAATGTACAATAAGAAAAACTTAAAAACTAAAATGAAATCGCATGCGATCGATTTCCTTGTAAAGACGATCAGCAATAATCATCTTCAACCAAATTATCCTTGTTACTTAATATATGAGTATATATATATATATTTTGCTAGCAAACATATCTGCTTTTAGTGTCATAGAAATAATTTTGAGGTAGTTTTCAACACGGACTGATATCAACATGAGAACCATGGGAAACCTAGGAGCACTGGACAACTGTTTCGTTTAGTATATGGTTAATCAGAGATGCGCCCCTACTGCCCAGCCACAGATAGAACGCCAGACCTTCACTTCTGACGTTGAGTGTGCTAGGCATTCAACCACCAGGTAGGAGTTCAATAGTTCACATTTTCCTACTTCTGTCAATTCTTTGTGCAGTGCTTTTATTGTCTTAGTTAATCAGTCCATTCCATATTCGATTTACTTGTCTCATACAGCACACAACGGTCAAATCAATGGTATGGTTATGACCAATAATTTATGCTCAAAACATCATCAAGTAAATAATACTGGATCACTGTGTGTGTTATAAGTGGATCTAATATGAAATTACATTCTACTAGAGTGCTAAAGTTTTACACTTATATTAGTAATCCGTTTATGATGAGCACCAACTTGAAATAAATAAATCTCTATAAACCTCAAGGTGAATTACTATATAATGCCCATTGGTGACGTGCTGGCAATAGACATCCCGAAATTCCAATGAGCGGTTGAAACCTTTGAAGTAAACCAGGTCGGATATGAAGTGGATGCTAACTTACCATTTTGGATGATAGTCGCTCCATATTGTGAGTTGACAGATGTAGAAAACTGTGAACCACTGACTCCACCCAGTGGCTGACGGATAAGACACTCGTCGTGAAAACTGAAGGTTTAGGGATCGGGTCTCAGTGGGATTTAAAGCTACCCAGTGTTCCTAGGTTTCCAATGGTTCCTCAAATAATATGAGTTCGTGATGAATACTATCTTGAAGTAAATAAAATCCCAAAAACGTCAAACTAAATCTAAGGTATCGCTTGATGCTTTATTCAGATTACTGCACTGTTTTGATCACATTACAATGCTACTTTTTATATCGAAAGGATGTACCTCGATGATCTAGCGTAAGTATGGATATGTACATTAAATCTGCATTCACTAGTCCATAAGTAATTAAAACTCCCAAATACAAACATTATTCAGTCATCCTAGATAAATGTTATACAAGGCAAGGTGTGGAATGTTCATAGATGAGATAAGACTAGAGATAATAAAAAATGAAACGGAAGTCAACATGAAAATGGATGGCAATAAGCGTAAAATAAAATAAAACAATTGCCGGGCATCTGTCATATATGTGATAGAGGATGTAAGGTGGACGCGATGAAATCCTTCACAGTAGTCAACAGACTAAGAATGTCTGTCTTACTTCTAACTGATGAAGCCGTCAAATGGAAAGAACACTATCTGAAGTTCTAGTTTTGTTAAATTCAAAATAATCAAGATCCAATAAATTTCTGTTTAAATGGATCTTTCGCATCTTTACATTGCATACAGTGGAGGAAGATATCAAGTTACGGAACACAGTATTTATAGAAAACCAACGTCCGCTGAGGTTTATAAACCATGCAGACCTCAGGTAACACCAAAGTCAACTGGATACGTGGTTTCTAAGAAAGGTGTCCATATCACTTTAGCATACAGAGGGGAGATGGATATTATAATTTTGAGACTTAAGCTAAAGTCAGTCAATAATAAAACATAATTTGACCAAATTTATTACCTAAACCTGCTTTGTGTTTCTTCCTGATCTTCAAAACAATAATTAATATCTTAGAAAAATTACTGACATTTTTTTATAAAACTAGATAGTCATGAGAGTTTGGTCACGCTCACCTTTGTTTCTAGACGGTGAGAGTTAAGGTAGCAAAAGTAAACGTAAATGTTTCTTCTTAGGTTTCTTCCTTAAAGATTTGTCTTCAACACTTTTCTTTTCTTTTTAACAAGTTTGTAATGAAGTTATGACTAAAAAGAATGTTCATATTCTGCTTACAATGGTATGCCTTATTTTAGACTTGACAGAGTCTTCTATTAGGTACGGATAATCTATTCGAGAATTCCCTAGATATGTTTTTGAATTCTTACAGTTGAAAAGCTTGGAATGAACAATATATGTGACTTGATGGCAACAGACTACCTTGAACAGTCATTTAGCTTGGTGTGACCTATAGGATGTCTGTAAGGAACATTTCAAAAGAATTTTTCATCACTGAATAATATCACCTGATGTGTCTTTGAAATCCTAGAAGTTCTGGACAGCTGTTTCATCTTAATCTGAGCTGCCTTGTCAGTTCAAACATGCAACCTTTAAAAGGAATCGAGCTAAGGTCCAACAGGTCTCATTTAAAACACGCTATCATTCATCCAGTAAGTCTAAATTCAAAGGCTCAACATTTCCTATTTCCGTCAGTTTGCAATATAATACAATTATCTTCCAAAGTTATAGCTGAGTATTTATCCTCACTTCAGGATTTTTTTACCCCACAGTTCACAACTTCATGTAGTTTTGTGGAATCTACGTTACAGCAAGTCATTATTGAGTGCTGAACAATAATGTGCTGCTGATTTTCAAAACGTGTTCGATTCAGAAGCAGCTTACATCACGAAAATTAATCGAGCCCTACAAAATACCGAATAGAATATAATCCGGTTTATGGCAACAAGCAAACGAGGTGTCTAAATTTCCTTCGGTACTAAAACTAATTTTAATTTTCCCCTTCTTGGCAGTATGACAATACTTACTGTTTGTGCATGCCTGTAGATTGATCTCTAGGGTAAATTGTCTTTCATCATCATCATCATCATCATATAATCCCGAAGAAAAATGACCAATTTCTAGATCATTCTATTTTAATGAGTTATTTGGCTGGTACTTTTGTTCATGACCCTTGAAGACTATTAGGTAAAATATTTTTCAATCGGTATATTTCCAGTTCTATTAAAATTCATGTATTTGAAAGTGTGTTTTGTAATCAGCACTTACCAATATGGCTTTGCCCAAGTTGAGTGTCTGTCCTAATATTTCGTACAATCATCGTATCGTGTACAATCTGTCGTTAGGTATTTGAACTATGAAGTCTGAAAAACTCAAGAAGATCAAGGTTCCAGATTAAAATTTCCTCTTGCTTATGTACGTGTTATTTCTTGTAGTAAATACCTGAAGTAAGTTGAGGCGTGATTCCTTCAGTGATTATATATACATATGTATGCTAAAGATAAGATTCTGAATATAAGCACAACTATATCAGAGCATTCAATCATATCTCAGTATGATAACTTAAAGCATTACTGAGTCAAATTACTTGCGAGATGATTCTATACTCGGATCTCAGGTTCTTAGGCTCACCTCTAAATCATCAAGTAAATATTTACTAACGTGAATATGCTTCTATCTCCTAACCTCCCGAAATCTGATATCAAGGCAATGTTAAACCTATCAACTGCAGTTTTTAAGCCCACAAAAAGATAATAACATTTACTTTTTGAATTGATAGTGCTTTCTAACGAGGAAGAAAAAAACTAAAATCTCCTCCTAAGTTGAATGGTACACTTATTTTATGGTAAGTCAGTACGATGAAGAGGTGTCCTAAGTGAACTTAGTTTTGCTCATCATTTTGGATTTTGGATTGTCTTAGGTAAGCTCTTTATCTCATACTTAGTATGGCTTGACTATATATCTTTGCATCATAAATCAGTGAAACAAGGTGGGTTGTTAATCCCTTAACGAGGGTTTTAAGCTCAAAAGAAATAGAGGTACTGCAGAAGAGACTTAACTTCAACATGACAGTTAATGAAACCTGAAAACATCATTCACAAAACTGAAATAACAGTTCAGTAGATACAACAGTAGCAGATGAGGTGCAACCAAAATGTGCTCTAGCACGTAAGCGACAGGAGAAAACAAAATAGAATTTTTCAAAAGCAGAAACAGAAGCTTTGAAGAACCCTTAAAGTGACAACAATATAGTAAGTGCTAAATCAGATAAAGATAAATCAGTAATAGTTTCTAAAAAATCAGATTACGTCTAGAAAGTCAGTGACCGTATAGAAATATGTTCGTAAGAGGAAATTAAAAAGCCAATGGACACTACTATGAATAAGGTTAGAAAAACCTCAACGGATCTAAAACGCCGAATGAAGCCGTTCCTAGGTGAGTCGAAGTAGTTTAGTTAAACATCAAAAACTGATAACTGCAGGGGAATTTAATGTACTATTAAAATTCTCAAGTCAGATTATCCTAATAAACCCATAGTGGATCGTGGAAACACTCTTACTTATGACTTATCTAAATATTCAGCGATGGTTCTAGACCCGATTAAACACCGACCTTAATCTGTACAAGCTAATCCCTATGACTTGAAACATAGATTAGATGATATACATATAAATGACAGTGATATAGCCGATTCGTATACTAATATGCCGATTAGTGTGTTTCTGGGGGCAGTTAGAAATGAAATCACTAATGATCAAGAGCTTATGCTATGAACTAAGGCACCTGTAGATGATTTCATGTTAGGAGTAAAGTCATGTCTAACCTTTATAGTCTTTTAGTTTCAGAATAAAACATACGGACGAACAGAAGGAGTTGCCATGGGATCACTAATATTTCAAACGGTAGCTGACTTATCTACGGATAGTTGAGAACGAATGGCTATGGAAAAGTTTACTTCAGCTCCAAAAGTATGCTTCCGATATGTAGGTGGGAAGTTTACTGTTTTGAAGTCGGAGCACATACATAGTTTCTTTTCATATAAGAATTCAGTAGTCAACCCAATTCAGTTACGATGCTGGACTGCAGAATAAAACGAAAACAATATAATTTTCTAGATATCAGTGTCGATGGCAAAACGTCACACTTGAATCTTGACTAAGATTTAAGATCATCACATACTGTGTTGGCCTAATAAAACAACTAAGTAACAGGACCAAGAAACTTAAAAGTGAAATAGAAGATCCAGGAAAAGAAATCAGGCACATTGATACTCTACTCAAGCATAGTTACTTCATTAGTCCCTTAGGAATAGTAAGAAAAATATGATTAATATTAATAACACAGGTATTAACAGTAACAAAAATAATGTTACTAATAATAGTGGCAATACTATGAAGAGAGAACTCAAAACCTCTACTGTATTACCATACAAGGAAGGCACTCAGAGATATTACGTAGGATTCTCAATAAGGCTGGGATTAGAGTGCCGTTCAAACTCATAAACTCACTTCAAAATAATCTTTGAGAGTTAAAAGACCCTCCTGATCTAAATTAAGGGGAATAATTTAGTCTACCAGATCCCTTACAGAGATTGCGTGATCAAATGCATAGGTCAAATTAGTCAGCTGGAACCAATTAGGCCATACGAGGACAAAAATTAATTTAAATCAAGATTGGTAGATTATAGTAAGATAAGGAATTTAGGATATAGCTCTGCCATAGCTATCCAGGCAATTACACATAACCTCACATGAAGATGGAACAGAGTAACCATTTTTAAAGAGAGAGAGGTTAATAACCGAATCTGTGTTTATTGAATTAACACTCAGTACATGCAACATTAATGACTCAACACTTGTTCCGGGTTTGTGGAAAATCCTACTACACCTTTCATAAAGGAGGACAGGAAATTAGGATTATATAAAGCATGTTTCAAATTTGTGGAGTTGTCTTGATATGACTATGAACAACAAAATGTGTCGGAAACGTAGTTCAGTAAGTAACATTGTTCCATTGTGATATATTTAATAAATCAGTTAAATGGAATAGCATTCTACCACAGTGCACAAGTTTTTCACTTGTATCAAAAATGCTATCTTCCTGTTTCAAATTTCTTGCTTACAATGAAACAATATCAAGACAAACGAAAGGAACATTCAGTTCTAATAAACTGTGACAATCAAACATTAAATATTTCACCTAACCATTTGCAACAGTTTACCTATATCAATGATATTTTGGAAGCAGGAACTTTCCGTTAACAACTTTTTTGCTGCTTCTTTCAAATAGAATCTAAGGTGCACGTTTCATCTTACAAAGGAATTACTGGGTTTATGCAGTTACCCATCGTCAACTATGAGATATTTCTGTTCTGTGGTGGAGCGGCTGTGTGAAAAAGTCATTGCCTAGACATACAGTAATACTTCAAGTATGCAGTCATGCTGATAAAATTCCTAACTTCTATATACTGTGGTAGCCTAGATATGTCAGAACTTTTCTACACAAAACTGCAACAGTGCGCAGTTTAAAATTAGATTGGAAGAAAGATCAATGCAGACAAATCAGAACTTAGTATCGACTTATGAGCTCTATAAAACCTATTCTGAGATACATAGGGAGATGCAGGTCTCCTAATTGCTAACTGCGGCCTAAGGAAAATAGACATCGAATGACGTGGCTCACACTTACTTGAATATGCTGACAGTAATTTTCGCTATTTGGGTAGTTACCCAATTAAGTCAAATTACATGTAGACAATTTCTGTGTGACATCAGGTTAAACCATAATTGATGAACTGAGGTGTTGATCAATTAAATTTCATTTCCATTACTAATCTGTAACTAATATATGACCATTAAACGATTGTATTTCTAAATCACGTGAATCTCTTGCAAATCAACGAAGGAACTTAAAGGCATGGCTAACACTTTCACTAAATGCTGTTCAAGTTTCACTACATATTACCGTAAATCCATTAAGTTAACTAGTATTTCGCATACGAAGCTATAATAACTATTCTTGTTGACTTTTCCTACTCAAAAATGTAGACTGAATCCGAAGACCATTGCAAAAGAGTGAGTTCATAATGTATTTCAAAATGCAGTTATTTTGTATAACAGATCCAAATACAAAAATGACTGCCTTCATTGTCTGCTGAAAATCTAACTATATCGTGTAGCGGTGTGTTTTAAGCAAAAGAGAAATTTCGTAGTTGCACTATCAGGAATGCTTCATTTCTATATATGATGTCAAGTGTGTCACTTGCGAAGCTAGTCAACTCTGATGAAAAATATTTGCAGTCCAGAATACGGATCCTCAGTGTGAGTTGTTCAATGAGCTGAGATTTTGGTCGTCAAACGTCCTCATGTCCATACTAAACATCATCAGTGCCTCATAGATTCACAACAGAAAGAAGCAATTGATTTTACATGGATAACTAAAAAGTGTGACTCTGCTTGATTTGAACCTTGGTGGTTGGCAAATGAGTACATGTGTGCTAGACTTGATTGCTTGGCGTTTTATCTAAGGTCTTCTGAGGAAACGTTTGACAGTCGAATGCACTAAGGATGAAGTCTAGCCTAACTTCAGGCGTTTTTCTGACTTAATCCCCGCAGAGATGGTTTCACAATATACCCTAATCAATTGTGTTTTATATTATTATTATTATTATTAGTCCCTTGGGTTCCTAGTGGAACATAGGGCTTCAGTAGCACGTCTCCATTTCATCCTGTTCTCTGAGATCTTTTGAACCTGGTTCCACGACAGCCCACAAGCTCTCATTTCCTCTTCGCACGACCTCCTCCATGTCACCCTCGGACGTCCAACTCGTCGCTTCCCATGGGGATTCCACTCGACGGCCTGACGCGTGATGTCCTCAGTCGGCCTTCTCAGTGCATGGCCAATCCATCTCCACTTCTTCCTGCATATTTGTTGCGTGATAGGTTCTTGGTTGGTTCGTTCCCAGAGTTCCTTGTTGCTTATTCTTATTATTCTGGCCATCTGATCTCCAGTAGCGAGCGTAGGCAGTTGTTGATGAATGTCTGTAGTTTATTGGAAATCCCTTTCGTGACGCGCCAAGTCTCTGAACCATACAGGAGCATTGACTTGACGTTGGTGTTGAAAATCCCTATCTTGTTCCACATGCTGAGTGCAGAAGATCTCCACACTGGTTTCAGGCTAATGAACGCCTGTCTTGCTTTTCCGATTCTGACTTTGACGTCCTCGTCCGTCCCGCCTGTAGTTGAAACAGTGCTTCCTAGATAAGTGAAGGGGGTTACTTCCTTTAAGTTTCTCCCGTTCATGGTGACTGGAGTTTGTTGTTGTTGTTGATGGTGGTGGTGCGGTATCTTCATCACTTCTGTCTTCTCTATATTCACCTGAAGTCCCGTCTTCGCTGCCCCTTCTATCAACTTGTTAGTTTTCGCCTGTAGATCTTCACGTTTGTGCGACATCAGACACAAGTCATCGGCGAAATCCAAGTCTTCTAGGTTGTTTTCCGCAGTCCAGCGTATCCCCCTCTTCTCGCCGCCTACAGTTTGCTGCATTATCCAGTCCACCACAATAAGGAATATCATGGGTGATAGTAGGCAACCTTGTTTCACTCCTGTCTTCACTTCAAAAGCATCACTGAGCTTCCCATTGTGCAATTACTTGGCATGTGGTATCTTCATATAGTTGTTGAATGAGGCGGATAAAGGTTTGCGGTACTCCGTAGTATTGAAGCAGTTTCCAAATTACTTCTCGGTCGACGCTGTCAAAGGCCTTCTCAAAGTCGATGAAGTTGAGGTATAGAGCTGATTGCCATTCTATGATCTGTTCTATGATGATGCGAAGCGTTGCAATTTGGTCTGCACATGATTTGTACTTCCTGAAGCCTGCCTGTTCCGGTCGCAGTTTTGAATCCAGTGCATCTTTAAGCCTCTCCAAGATGATGCGGCTTAATATTTTACTTGCATTGGGTGGACAGGAGAGTGATTCCGCGCCAGTTCTTGCAAACACTGAGGTCTCCTTTCTTCGGCAGTTTGACAAGGTAACCCTTCTTCCAATCAGTGGCCAGGTACCTTCTCTTCCTTCCACACCTTCTGCAATAGTGGTGTTTTGTGAGCATGTCCGCTGTTGTCTCTGCATCTGTTCTCAGTGCTTCTGGCGGTATCCCATCTGGTCCTGCTGCTTCCCCACATTTCAGTAGCTTTATGGCGTTCAGAACTTTGACTTTCGTTGGGGGATTTATGTTCACTGGTAGTTCTGTGGCTGCAAGTGGTATTTCTGGACGAAGTGCAGGTGGTGGTCGATTCAAGAGCTTTTGAAGTGGTCGGCCCATCGTTTCCTCCGTTTCTCTTCTTTCGTAATTAAATTTCCGACAACATCTTTTATTAGTTTCATCTGTGTTGGTCTCTTCCCTGATAGCAACCTGGTTATTTGATACAATGTCGTCAGGTCTCTCTTACCTGCAGCCTGTTCTGCTTCACTTGTCAGTGTTTCGTAGAAGTGTCTTTTGTCTTTCCGTGCACTCTTCTTCACTTCTTTGTTCAGTGTTTTACACATTGTACTCAGTTCCTCTTGTCGTTGAGCATCCTTGCACTGGTTTATCTTCTGCTTCACCATCCTCCTCTCCCCACTGCATCAGCTTCCAGGTATCCGTCGAGATCCATTCCTTGTCTTCTTTCTTCTTCCTTCCTAATACGCCTGTGCAGGTTTCTTTCCACATAGCTTTCAAAGACTTCCAGTGTTCTTCTACACAGGTTTCTTCAGGGATGTCCCTCGATGTCTCCCATTTTGTCTTGATGGCTGGCTGCCGTGAAGATCTCCTTTGTAGTTTCATCCTTCAGTTTCCGAGTGTTGTACTTGAATTGAGGTCTATCACCAGCTTCCTTGAAGGCTTTTAACTTGATTTGGAAGGTTCCTTGCACTAGATGCTAAGTGGTCTGAACCTACATCTGCTCCTCTTCTTGACCTTGTGTTAAGTAGACTGCGTCTCCATTTTCTCGAGATTGAGATAAAGTCGATTTGATTTTTAGTGTGTCCTTGTATCTGGTGAAATCCATGTCGCTTTATGGATATCTTTGTGCCTGAACACACTGCCTCCAATCACCAAATCGTTGAATGCGCAGAATTCTGCAAACAATTCTCCATTCTCTTTCATTTCGCCTAGCGCCTCTCGACCCATGGTTAGTTCTCTTTCCGTGTTGTCCCCTCCCAGTTTGGCATTCATGTCGCCCATTAGAATTTTGATATCGCCAACTGACGTTTTGTCCAGTGTTGATTGAAGTTGTCTGTAGAATTCCTCCTTTTTCTCTTGCTCTACATTATTTGTAGGTACATAACATTGTATGATTGTGACCTTCCTTCCTTTTGAGTTGAATCTTGCTGTCATGACCCTGATGCTGGAGGAGATTGGTTCCCACTGCATGAGAGCCTTCGATGCTCTTGAGGACATCATAATAGCCACTCCCTCAGTGTGCTCGTGGTTGGCGTCTGGGTGACCGGAGTAGATTATTGATTCTCCAGTTGACAGTTTGGAGAGTCCACTCCCATTCCATCTGCTTTCGCAAATTCCAAGCACTTCAATGTGATACTTTCTCATCTCCTTTGCAATCTGGGCTGCCTTACTGGGTTCAAACATGGTGCGGACATTCCATGTCCCCACGTTTACTTTCGCTTTCATCGAGGGAGAGAAGACACATCGGCCAATTGGCTTGCCGAAGGCTTTCACCAACTGGCGTCATTTCGCCTCTCCGATTCCAGCGGGGAATAAGTTTGTTTTCATTTTTTATATTTTGTCTGTGCCTTGAAGCTTCTTTAGCGATTGGATTGGTTTTACGGGGTAGGGTTGCTAGCCCTATGCCCAACCTTCCCTCTTTACCCGAGCTTAGGACCGGCTAGTAACTAGTGAACTAGTTAACCAGGCGAGGTTTTAGTAAACTGGTATACTGTACACCTCAGCTTCATATACCTAAGTTAGCAGTAGAACATTCCTCGTCACTTCTTTGATTTATATTGCAGTGCTTAGCTGAATTTAGCCATACCTGAAGGATATACATGATTCGAATTACTTCAGAAAGTCACAGTGGGGAATTAGAAAGTCACATGGAATGATTTCAAGTCAGTCCATGTCTCGATAATTCTAAATAGCTTCAAGACACTAATTTAATTTTGAAGTGCTTCATTGTATAAAAATACCTAATAAATTTATCTCGCAACTTTAAACCTTGAAGCTTAAAAAGATCGCATGTAAATATGTAGCTTTGTTGCTTAAATTCACAAGAATGTTCTGTAAATGCCTTACGAGATTGGTGTGATATTCTGATGCATCGATCTTACTGGATATATCTTGACATCAGCAAGACAACAGTATGAGTGTTTCTGCCGGGTTTTTTCAGATAAACAACAAGTGTACAGAGAGCAAGATTTGATGAGTTCATGAGTTTTGGTTGGACTCTTCAGCTGAATACTCTACATATTTGGTTGTATGCATCACAATATATTACATGGTGTGACAGTTTTTGTAGTTTCGATAGGCAGCTTTACTTTTTGCAATCTTATTGTTAATATTACCCAAAGACTTATGTGTGAGTCGACTTCGATGAAATTTCCCGTTTACAACTAAGGTGTATCTAAATGCATAGTGAAAGATCAGAGACCTACAAGCTCACCTGGACGGTGCAAGAATAATAAAAATATAAGATTTCGGAAGGATAGGAATGAAATAACTTCAAGAAATAATTTGTATGGGGAACAGTTGGTAATGTAATAAACAGCAAATAAAATGACATTAAGTCTACAAAATATATTCTGACTTTAAATTGCTCTTCAGAACATGGTATTTGGTAAGTTTTATCACATGAGCCAAGAATCACCCCAAAAGGCTGGTTCCCTGAAAAGATCCTATTTTAACTCACGACAAATTGGAAAGCCTTACAAACTACACAAGAGTAAGTTGAAGGAAAGTCATACTATCACCACGCACTGACTCAAGTCAAAAATCAGTACCCATGGAATTATATCTTCTGGTTTGAATTCAGCGATTTCCACAAGATAACCTAAAAAACCTCAGTCAAATCTCTACCTCAACTTTATCGACTTTGAAAAGGCTTGCGACAGCGTCAACCAAGAAGTAATTTGTCAGTTGCTTCAACACTACAGTTTTAGTGCCACAAATCTTTATCAGCCTCATTCAACAGCTATGTGACGATGCCACGTGCAAGATGATCCACAATGGAAAGCTCACCGACGCCTTTGAAGTGAAGACAGAAGTAAGACAAGGCTGTCTACTATCACCCATGATCTTCCTGATTGTGGTCGACTAGATCATGCAGCAAACCGTGAGGAGCGAGAAGATGGGCATACGCTGGACCGATCAAAAGAGCCTAGAAGATTTGAATTTCGCCAATAATGATTTAGGTCTCATCTCTTGTCGTACAAACTGGACGACCTACAGGCAAAAACTAACAAGTTGACAGAAGAGGCACAACAGCGAAGACGGGACTTCAGGTGAACATAAAGACAGGAGTGATGAAGATACTCAACCAACGCCACCACCAACAACGACAAGCACCAATCGCCATCAACGGGAGAAACGTGAAGGAAGTAGAAAGAAAAAGAAGAAGAAGAAGATGGCATGCTACTGAAGCTCTATGTTCCACTAGGAACCCAAAGGGAAAATAATAATAATCCTAAAAACTTACGAACTATCCAAAGATATTAGCGAAAGCATAAATCATAAAAGCTATCGAAGACTTGGACATATGTTCTATTTCGCCATCCTTCAATTTCAGTAATTCTTTAATTTATACTGACTTGAGATGACTGCTATCTTTTATGTATACTACCGTTGCTGCTTAAGTTTGCAGATGTAACTGTTTTTCTAAGAGATTATTAATTTCTTGGACTACGCAAATTAGATTTTAACAAAATACTCATTAAAAGAAGACCACATTAACGCACACCAATGGCAAAACTGAGACTATTCCTCCCAATTGAGTCAAGTATGGCTTCTGAAGTAAGACTTAATTTAGGTATGACTTTCAAGTAAAATTGCTGCTTGAAGACGGTAAACTGCAACCCGTTACTTATGAAAGTCTTAGGAAACATCCAAAAAAATCACGTAAAGTAGCATAGGCTGTAAATCACCCAAGAAAGTAGGTTTAATGGGTGTAAAGAGGAAAATACAAACCAACGGTAGAAACTATTCCACTTTCTGTCTACACGGAAATAATGGACATTTGATTCTCGATTGCTACATGCCTAGGGACTTCATCGCTTTTCTCCTTTAAAATATAATGCTGTGGAAGTATCCCAGATTAGATGTTTTCGTCCTTCTGAGTAATTTCGTTATCAGTGGTTATTTATTTTGCAATGTTCTACCACAGAAGTAGCGCACATAGTATTAGAAAGTAAGTGAATAGTATTTGCTGTAATTCCATAACCCAAATTCCTTAAATCATGCGACAACCCGGTTTTAAATCTTAGTTCTAGTGTTGCTGTTACTATTCACCACTATTACTCTGTTTGTATACAGTATACACAGTTTCAGAGTCAGCGCTGGGGAATAATCGATAAATACTCAAATTACTTCAATTCGTCACCTCAACAATTTAATATTTGCACATAAACGGATCACATGAACCCATCAGTTCCAGGGAATAGTTTTATGTATAAAGTTGCGTGACACATGTCTGATCCCCCGACTGAAATGTAGAAACGTTTTGGCAGTTTTTTATAAGTAAATAATTTTTGTGATGAGTTAGTTTATCCTTTATGTGTACGACTGCTTCATTCTTTTTCTTCACACATCACGTCCTACAAATAGATGAGTTAGTACCACAAAGTTGTTTCTTTTGTGAATAACTAGTAGGTTGAATTTCATACTGTGGCTTGTCCTGTGCAGTGTTTTTCTTAGACCCTACCATGGTTTTCACATCTCTTCTCACAGACTACCATTCCTAGTAGTGGAAAAGAAAAAAACTATACATCTTCGGCTAAATGGCTCCGTGGTGGTATAGGGCGATACTTAGCTGTTTATACACTCTTATTTGTGTCTTGGATTGTTTGAAAAACGAAGTGAGGAAATGAGAAACGTACACAACAGAAACAACTTTTTCATATCACATCTATAAATGACAAACAAACATACAGATAAAATCAACAAAGGACCCCACACACAGTACATCGGTTCAAGTTACCACACCTAACAGTTACTTGTGAAAAACTGATGGATTAAAAATTAGCACAAATATTGAATTTTCAGAAGAATTTAAAGGGTGAATACATCTGCACTACTATGACTGATTTTCAACCATATCAATAAGAGTCCTGTGGTCTGTGGTCTCAGGGACCTCAGTCAGACAGTCTAAACCTCTTCACGCAACTCAGACCAACAGTCAGAGACTTCAAGAACCATATCTATAAATGGAAATCCTTGAAAATCTAACAACTGTTTCAAACATAGTGTTCTTCACAAGACCTGAAATAATGACAAATATATGAAGTCACTATCAAATGCAATTGGTTGTAAATAATTTCAAATTGCAAGTAACGGCACTTCCATATTTTCTAACTGTTATGCTGGAAATATTATCCTTGTTGCTAGATTTCTGACTAAAACTAAAATACTATGTAACTCGAGAAATGCTTTATGACTTATATATATATATATATATATATATATATATATATATATATATATGTATATATATATATATCATACAATCTGTTAAAAACCTGCATAAAAATTAACTACAGTCATGCAATTCAATTTGGAAGTTTGTGTGGATTTATCGATTTCAGTTTGCATTTCATCATGCACCGACATTAGTTGGGGAGTCACTGAAAGTTTGAGATCATTGAATAGCTGTTTTGTCCTGGCACCCTAGTAACCTCCTCAGGGGTCGAATCCACTCCCCTCAAGTTTCGTGGCAAACGCATTGCCATTGCCATGCTATTGGGTTAGAACCCGGCGTCAGATTTTATCCTATTGTTGTCAATTGGCAATAAAAAGCAACCTTCTTTCAACGCCATCATTGAATATTTGTCCATACCTTTAAATTTGTTTCACCCCACCGGTCACGACTTCTCATCACAATTTTGGGGAATTTCATCTCGGAGCAAGTCCCTAACCAGCACTCAAGAATAGTTCAGTTTGGAGGATTTAGCGGACTCTGTTAAACTTCCGCGACTAACCACTGGACTGATATTTTAGTCCTATATACGCTTGTCAAAATACAACTGTAACCCATAATAACTTAGCGTACGGTCACTAGTGAAGTAATAGTCTCAGCAGACCGTTAATTGCATAATTTATTTTAAGGTTAAACGCCTGATTGAAGCATTGGTTGTCATATTGGTGCGTGTAACTTTTCATCTGACAGTATTTAAATATTCGAAAGATATTCAACACATGTTCATTCTAAACTGAAAATGGTCAAAATTGATATAATTGCTTCGTCAACCAGGTCTGAAAACAATGAACAACATACTTCTAAACATAACAAAGATTATACTTTTCCTAGTTAATGCGCGGTAATCTGATTAAAAGTTGAATGTGGAGTCAAAGTGTTTTTATCGCTTAAGTTCACTTTAAAATGGAATCTTAACAGATTTAGGTAGAAAGCATTCCCTGGTCAGAAAAGTTCAACAGTACGGTTCTCCTTTCGTCATATTCAATATATGGTATAGTCAGTAAGCAACAGAAAACCAGAAAAGTTGAGAAACATACAGAAGGTGACGTGTTTAGGCTTCACTACCAGATAAGACCAGACAGTAAAAAGGAAAGTTATTCATCAGAATATTATTCAAAGATTTCTATTTTTAAAATGCTTACATGTTGATCTTTTTATGGCTCCTGGCTTTCGAAAGCATATTCATCTTAAGAATCTTTTCAGTGTGAATCAACTACCAAATCCACAAGTGTGCCGATATATGTTTATGCAAACGACCCGCTTAAACTTTGGGCTACGGAGAGTTTTCCATCGAATTTATTTCACTGAATTCTTTTCTTTCAACTTGCTTTGATCTACTAAGTATATCTTTTAAACGCCTTAAGTACTCTTGCAAAATTTTTAAATGGTTTCAAACTGCAGTTTTTCAAGCTTATAACAAAAAAATAAACGATACTCCGGTGAGAAGTGGGCTTATAAATGCACAGAAATACAATACATTACTATTCGTTTGATGACTATGTTAAATTGCAAATTTTGGCACTGGCTGAATAAACGTACACCACCAGAATTACGCTAGATATTCTATTCATTCACCGTTCAAACCAGACGCTTATATAATATCAAGTGCCCCTTTCACATTGTGGCTTTTGTTATTGTTACCAATAACATTATTTAAATGAAATGATTATTTCGCCTAAAGATATTGTACAGGGAGTGAATTTGTTGAAATATTACATACTGAGAATTCCAACTGTACCACAAGTCGTGTTTGGAATAAAGCTATTATTATTATTACTTTTCTTCAATTACTGGAACTGATCCACTATCGTACATTGATCAGGTTTGTTATGATGCTATTCGATGAGATCACAAATAAGCATTTTCCAGTCATTTCAGAAAGTCTGTCAATCCCGATCATACGTAACTATGAATGTTCTTTACAAACCAATCAAAATGATAACTTCAGTTTCGTAAACTTTCATAGATTTTTTCAGCTTAATTCAACCTCAGATATGTAAGTAATGTATTTAAAAAGCATATATTTAAAAATACCGAAAGCTTTTAATTTTTTTATACTCATTACTCTTGAAGTAGTTACCATCAAGGAAGTGAACTAAGTAGGGAACTTATAGATATCAATGTCATAGAGAAAAAAGTGGTGGTGGTCACAAAGAAAGTATTTTTGTTTTGGACTGTCTCATTCTGCCAGTTTTCATTCATGAACATATAGTGAAAAGGATAGAAAATTCGACAATAACTCCTGATCAGGATACAAAATACACTGGATAATGAAGAAGGAAATAAGTAATTAGATAAAGATCTGGGAAAAGAAACAAAGAATTAGAAGTGAAGTGTAATTGCATGTTAGGAAATTATCTGGAATAACAAATCGTTGGTAGTAATTATGATAATTTGAGTTGATATTTGGAATTGCTGGTACTTCAGCTGTGCCACAATATCTTATTCTCAACCAGTCGAAAACAGTACGAAGTGGTAGGTGTTCATTTTAGAAACAAAAATAAGTTGAGTCCAGTTTCATTTAAATAGTTTTAGTTATTGTAGTTGTTGTGTTTTCCCCCCTATAATGAGAAAATTGTACGATTTGAATTCATCAAGCTTTTCATTTAGCCGGCCATTGTAAGCTGATCGTTTTTCAGTATGATACACTTTAATGTGACTAGTTTTCATTTATTTTTAATATTATTCAGGACAGATATATTATATGCGTGCTAAGTGGCCCATGGTCTATGCAACTTTCATGGTATTGAGAAAATCTTGAGTTTAATTGTCACCTAATGCATAAGTATTGATCCACTTATCTTACTTTCAACTTTTATCTCCCTAGTAGTATCAAAAGCACACAAATAGACGAACAAATCAATGTAGAACCTCGCACATAAGTACATCGGCTCAAGTTTTCACACTTCATAGTAGTATGCAAAAAGCAGGTGAGCAGAAAAAGAGTAGTATCAAAGTAAACAAGGCTGGGTGAGATAATAAACAGTCCGAAGATGAAGCCCGACGCAAATATTCAAGGTTTAGGTATCAAAGAGTGAATAAGTCCACACCATTTTGAACTATTTCCAGCAGTGTGCCTTTCCAGCTATGAACAAGTATTTAAACTTTTATAGGTAACTTCAAGATTAGCCTTAATTATAACCAGATAAAAAATCTTAAAATGTTTCCAGAACATCTGCAGAGTTTACGGGAAAATGCATTACGCTTTGAACGCGTTTTCTGTAGACAATATAAGATAATTGAAGAAAGTTTTAATATAATTCCAAAAATGTATCTAATGAAAGATACTAGTGCTGGACAACTTGGGTAGTTCGAACCCACTCAAATCGATCTGTAGTACGTTGCTTCACTCGTTTGGAGCTGAACTCATCAGCAGCGTACCCAGATAAATCCAGCTCAAAAAGCAGAATTAGTTCAAATCGGTATACCAGTATACCTAAAATAAGATGCTCATGTTGCACGGCTGCTAAATTACCTTGAGTGGAGTTGAGTGTCACAAAATTTAACCTATTCAAAAGTTCTTACCTATATTCATTACACAGGCACAATTGCGATACAATGCTATTTAGCAGAAATCACAACTGCATTAATTTAGAAATGTTCCTGATCACTGATTCTTACTAGACATAGAGTGCACAACAAAGTTACTGCGGCCATTTCAGGTTTCACGACTGAGCACATATTCTACAGTGAAATTTAAGTGAAATTAACAGGATAATGTGCCATTTTTAATTGTATAACTAACTAAATGAAGTTGAAACCTGAATCTTGAGTCCTCATTTCAAAGTGTTCGGTGTTTAATTAGACTTCTGAAAAACTTCACAAGTACCTGTACTTCGGAATGCGATTAACTTTATTCGAAAAGTGAGCTGACTATCAAACGCTCGAAATTTGATGCAAAATGAAATGGAATCATTGTGACTACTGACGTACCAATACACGAAATGGAGTCTATAAACACAAAGTTTGAATTATTTAAATAAGATTCAAAAGCAATCAAAAGTTTGCTGCAGCGCTAGATTACGTTTTTCTAAAACTATCCCCTTACTGATTGCAAACGATTATTTAAGTGATGGTTTAACACTACTATTTCGTTTTCTACTTAGAAATATAAAAAAATTTGAAGTTGAATACTAAGTTAAAATTACACATACAAGCAGTTACTAGGCTAGTTAAAGCAAATAATAATTCACTCGTAAAGGATTTGTGAAAGATATGGTATACGGGTATCCTGGAAAGCTTCCTTATTCCACTTATAGATCGCAAGATGATTGATGATTAAACTAACCTTGTAAACCTAGTTGTAGTGAATCTGCAAAACAACCCACACAAAAAGCTCTAATATTGTTCTGCGACAATGCTTCTGTTTTTAGGATTCCAGTGTGGATGACAAAGTAGGTTTCTCATTTTGCTTTTGTTACAACAAACGGAATAAGTATCATCAACTGTGAAGCGTTTCGTTTATAAGTTCAGTGGACTCACACTTTTATGGTAACTATGAGCAAAGTAAGGCTAGTCATACAAAAAGTCTATACCAAGAAGTTGAATGAAAGGGTGGAAATAGTAGTTGTAGAGTGAAATTGCAACAAGTCAGTAGGCAACTTAAGATAATTCTGGGCGACAAATGAAATAATATAACGATATTACCAAAGCTGTTTAGTCAATTTAGAGGTCTATCACTCTATTTTTGAGTGACTAAGAAGATTATTTGCATATTAACGGTTCACGTGATAGTATGCAATAGGCTTTCTTCTGAAACGCCATCACTTAATAATGAGTGCAGTAGACAATATTAGAAACACCAAAGATGCCATGTCAATTACACTCCATGAGGATGAAAGAAGTCTTCCAAATAGATAATTTTTACCTAACAGATTTCTGATTCCATATAATTTTTTGTGTTCATGAATGATAGAAACTACCACTGTATTAACTGGAAATGCTTTAACATACACCCAGAGGTTGTCTGACTTATGTATTAGAGCTGTATATCAAATGTGCAAGCTCAGAATTCGTCTTAGTGTGATAAGATCAAACACTAGTTCTTTTTTAAATAAATATTAGACACTTCACCTTCTGCAGTTATTTCTATTTTTTCATCACTATTTTGTTCACTTTCCAGTTGTTAGTGTATGTAAATTGAATACTGGCACAGATTTGCGTGTCATTTCTCAAAGCATTTTCTGTTCAACAGAATGTCGTGAGATAGAAAGTTGTTGTCCCCTTTGATTTTTGTCCCAGAAGTGATTTCATTAAACACTGTCAAATGAATTGTACTTATTTTCTTCATTAATGAAATATGGGTGATATATCCACATCTGTTTTCTACTTAAAATATGACTAAATCCCTATCTTCATTTATAATCCCACATTTGTGCACGTAGCTCAAAAAGCATATGAAGCCAGAAATGTTCTCATTTTTATATGGGGAAGATAGTTGTCATTTACTGAATACTGCCTTCTATTGGACCTAAGATCACATGTTTCGTCCTACTTACGGCTTTTTAGCTGGGTGTATCTTCATCTTACTGAGTAATTGGATTCCAAATGATGTTTGAGTCCACCAGCCGTCGCTTCGAATTCTAGCACCTTATCCAGTAGCCCACTGGGTCAGGAAAGTAACTTCTTGTGCATCAAATAGAGTTTTGATTTACTGATACACGTAAGTTGCCGCTGACCGGTGATATGAATCAAAATGATAAATGTCTCTTAGCACATGAGCACCTATGACGAAAACTCTATACTGCCTGAAGATTCAGTAGGATGCAATTTGCTTGATGGTGGCTCACAGCAGAATCAGCGGTGTTCATTCCACTCTATTTCAGGAGATCTTTATTCATCTTTCTTTCAGAACCTAACATATCACTTGTTGTTAATTGACGTACACAACCACTTTCAAGGTGAAATATCAATATTGTTCCAGAAGAGCCGCATGACTTTTCGAAAACCTTTTCTAGCAGTCGATATTCTGAATATTGTTCTAGATATTTTTTTCATCATCTCCGGAGTTTATATTCCTAACCCTTTGTGCGTGACAAATATTTTTTTAGCCCTATATACTTCCTTTTTGAGTAAGTTAAATATCTGGCTCTGCTTCAATCAACTAGAAAGTCCTAATGAAGCATTTAACTTTGCTCAGTTTTTCTAATTTTTGTGACATTATAAGGCTTAAATGATTCGCAATAAGTATATGCCTATCTGTCACAAAAATAACAAACGAGGGACTGCAGTCAGTTTTATAACAATGATTTGAAGGCAACGAGCCATTCTGGTATCCATTAGAATTGTTTCTTACTGTTGCACAGCTTCAGGAAGGAAATCTTCAAATAGGTTTTCAAATACCCCTCAAGACAGCTCTTGCCACATCTATATAAGGTCGCATTTCTCTGAAATCAAAGTATAAATATCAGTCAATAATTTTTATAGCACTTTTGACCACTAACATTATAAGTTTACTATAAACTTACAGACTAAGTTTATTACTATAAAAATGATCTTAGGTTACAGTATGGTACAGCTAAACAGTAGTTCATGTTTGAAATTGTCCATTGGTTTTATTGCATTTGGTATATTTCATGATATCATGCATGAGACCTAAATTGTTTATCGATGCAGCAGAGTCAATCAAAGTTTAACTGAAATCCAACATTTGAAACGTAGTACTCTCATATTAGCGGATAGAAAGTGTCTTCTTATAATGGAACGTTTTATAATATAAACTGCAATTTAAGTAAGGATTGTTGTTATCTGCATCCTGTGTATTCTCTATAGGAAATTACTTCAACTTTTTGCATGTACGTTTTTACTATTACATATTATGTTTAATGAGTATTGCTTTTGTTGTGACAAAGTATCCATGCACCCACTCCTTTGATTTCGTGACTTTTAAATGGAAGGACTTATGTTTTGATGGGCTGAATCTCTTATCAAATAGATTAGTAGTTGCTTAATGAGCATAAGCAAACGTGAAATATGGTATAGATCTCTTAGTCTACGCCGTCTCACTTATCATTTAAATGAGCTAATACATTTGTTATTTGAATTATGAGTCTACGCCCCCTTTAACAACTACTTCTGTGAATCTGTAATTCTTCAGAATGTAAAAATCTACAATTATATAAAAGAATACAAATCAAATATGTAAAATTCCTAATGTTTAAGTAATCAACTGAAACGTTCATTAGTTGTATTCTCTAAAAATACACCCTCCACTTTCAGTCAGACTTCTAGTTTTGAAGAGTTGATATAATGATCAAGGCATATTACTGTGACTTGGTCACTACCAGCCGATCTGATGTGATTGAATTCAGTGAAAATTATTTAAATATACTGTTCAACGCACGACTTAATATTAGGAAACGTGTCTAAATAGATTTAGCTGCAACACAGAATTCAAATTAAAAGTAGCAAATATATTACAGGTTGAACCAGATATTGATCACACCATCTTATTTCTAAAGGTACCATATGTGTCTACCGACACTGGTCAACCCCGTTCAGAAAAGAAACAGACTGTTCTGTCAGGTCATGCGGAATTTGCACAGAACTCATTTGATGCCACGTGTTAGGTGAAGTCAAGCTATTCGAAGAGATTTTGATTGTCTTGCTTCAAAATACCAAGAACAATAATGGAGTAGCATACATTTTTTTCAGTAGCGTCTTTGCAGATACCAGTAATTCTGAAGCATCTTCATAGGAGCCTATATAGTAATAGTGATCGGTCTATTTAATTGAGTCAATGATAAAAATCTACAAACTGTTATATAAATCTACAATCATTGCACGAGGAGTAACGCTCCGAAGCTGAATCAATAGGTGTTAGGTTAAAGCCTCAGTGGGAACAAAATCTTTCTCTAAGAGGTATCCGGCTGACTAATCCCAAATAAATGAAACATGCATCCTGGTTTTCATTGTTTGCCACTATTGATCACAAACATAAGAAGCAGATGATTAAGAGAATCTGAAGTTGAAACGACTTGGTAACTGGTTACAAAGAATCAGCCACTGGATAACATATTGGTTGATGTACATAAAAGTTGAATACGATGAATTCAAACCTGTTGGGAGGAGTAATGATGTGGTTAGATAATAAAACTTCAGACGGAATAAAATGTACCGAAGGCGGATGGTAGTGCAATACAATAAGAATACTCACTTTGACTTTCTTCTGCTACTGGTCATCAGGCCTGAAGAATTCATCTGCAAATAGTTCCTAAAAAGGCACAGCATTTACGAATTGCATCAATGAATATGTAAAATTCTGTTGAATCTAAATAACAGCTCAATGGGTCAAAATGTGGTAAGAAAATCACCTGACACCCACAATCCAACTACAACCAAAGTTCACAATTTTTCCATGTAGCTCAAACATTCTCTGCAACATCGAGTACTGATGAAGTTGCTTATTCTTGTTAACATGAACGATCTGACATCAAAGTTGAAATACTACTGAACAAATATCAAATAGTAATTACTCAGTAAAATATGGTTCAAACTGTCAATTTATTAGCTTGATCGCATTATTAGACAGTAAATACTGTGCATATATAATTTCAGCATCATAAAATACCATCGCAGAAGATAATCAGATGATTTTTTTTTCACCCTACCAATTTCTAGATATAGCAAACAGTGATGAATATCTCGAACTGAATCGTCTAGGCGAAGTCTACTACTTTTAAGAAAAAAATGGTATATACACTGCCAAACTTTTAAAAGAGACGAAATGAATCGACAAATGTCTCTATCCAGTACCACATTTTTTTCCTTGCTGATACTCTTGTTTTTTTAAATATTAATTTCTAATTACTTTTAAATTCGAAACTTGGTTTGTGAATGAAGATGTATTAGCAGCAAAATGACTTCTTGAATTTCGCACTGAACTAACGTTAACAAACTTTTCAAAATTGTAAGTAATTCCACTTCTATAGTGCTAACGAATTATAAGTATCTCGATGTTTTACGTTATGAAAGCATGGACGCTTGATGACCATTATACTAACCAGTCATAATGAGCTCAGTTAACAATAAATGCATTGGAAGTAAATGAGGAGCATTCTTAAAGGAAAGCGTAGCGTAGCTTCTAATCTTTCATGAACAGTGTGAGTGTTCCTCTTTAATTGTGCATATTCTCGTCGAATAGATGCAAAATACAGCTTCCGTATGCAAACAATTTGATGGAAAAAATGTCAGAATAAAGGCTGATAAATACAGCTGTTGCTTCAAAGATTAACTCAAGTCTAACCTCATAATCTTGATCCTCAGGCTAACGGCTACGCATTGAATCATTGTGGTTCGCCCCACCTATTCCATTCTCCTGAGACATCTCAAAAAATTTTTCATCAGAAACTGGAATTACTACGAAACTACTCAAAATTACAACCCATCAAAGGACTCCAAAACTTCTTTCACCATTTGACGGTTATGTTAAAGCGAATTAGTGTTTAATCTGTGTATATGTTTCAAGTGATGTGTTTGTTCTCAATTAGTGCAGATGAATCCCTGATAGTAGCAAGAGAGGTATTACAATTTGCTTAAAAGCTCATACTTCTGCTATCCAGAATAACAGCAAGCCTCAAACAAGGAGTCGCAAATCTGTATCTTCAAAGTGCCTCAACATAGATTTCATCAATAATTTGTGATAACTGCTGTTTAACCCAATGAAAGATCTCAAAAATCTTTGAAAGCTATAATAGCTAGAACCGTATCAAAAACTTCTAGCTATTATTATGAGTCCCTTGGGTACCTAGATGAATATAGAGCTTCAGCAGCATGCCGCCATTTCACTCTGTCCTATGCAGTCATTTCAACCTAGCTCCACCACTACCCAGAAGCTTTCATTTCTTACTCACACGATCTCCTCCATGTCCCCCTCGCCTCCATGGCCCAACTCATCCCTTCCCGTTTGGCTTCCACCCGACCACCTGATCTGGCGCGTGATGTCCCCAAACCAACTTCTCAGTGTATGCCCAGTCCAGTCCAGTCCATCTCCACTTTCTTCTGCACATCTGTTGGGTGATGGGTTCTCAGTTGGTTCGTTGCCAGCAACAGTTCCTTGTTGCTCATTCTTCTTACTCCAACCATCTGATCTCCATCTTCAGTATCTAGTGAGCGTAGGCGGCAACTGTTCACGCATGTTTGCAGTTTGTTGGAAATGCACTTGGTAACGCGCTAAGTTTCCCAGCCATCACATGGAAGCACTGACTTGACTGACATTGGTGTTGGAAATCCGGATCCTGTTCATGCTTTATGCTGAGTGTGGTGCAGTACATTGTAGTAGATCTTCACACTGATTTCAGCTTCATGAAAACCTGTCTTGATGTCTTTCCGATGTCGGCTTTGACATCTCCACCTGTGCCGCCTGTAGTTGAAAGTATACTGTAGAGATAGGTAGGTGAAACAGACAACTTCCTTTAAATTTCTCACATTGATGGTGATTGGTGCTTGTTGTTGTTGGTGGTGGTGGTGGTGCTGGTGGTTCAGTATCTTCATCACCTCAGTCTTCTCTACATTCACATGAAGTCCCATCTTCGCTGCCGCGCCTCTTCTGCCAACTTGTTGGTTTCCGTCTGTAGATCTTGGAGTTTGTGCAACATTAGACATCTATCATTATCGGCGAAATCCAAATCTCCTAGGGTCTATCAACCAGAGTATGTCCATCTATTGGTTCCTTACGGTTTGTTGCATGATCCAGTCTAGTCAAGTCGAACACAATCAGGAAGATCACTGGTGATAGTAGGCAACCTTGTCTTGTCTTGTCTCACTCCTGTCCCCTGTCTTCACTTCAAACGCGTCAATGAGCTGAGCCTTCCATTGTTAATCACTAGGCATGTAGCATCCTCACATCCTATATAGCTGCTGCTGAATGAGGTTGACCAAGGTTTGGTGCAATAAAACCACAGTGTTGAAGCAGCAGCTCCCAGATTACTTCTTGGTCGACTGCATTCAAGGTCTCCTCAAAGTCAATGCTATTGAGGTGAAGAGTTGACTACCATTCTATATTCTGTTCTATGATGATGTGTAGCGTAGCATTGCAAGTTGGTCCGCACATGATTTGTTCATCCTGAAGCCAGCCAGCCAACCCGTTCCGGTTGTAATTTTTAATCGAGAGTGTGTTTTAGTCTCTCCAGGATGATGAGGCTTAACATTTTGCATGCATTGGGTGGACAGGAGCATGGTTCCGCGCCAGTTCTTGCAGAGACTTAGATCACCCTTCTTCGGCAGTTTGACAAGGTAGCCCTTCTTCCAATCAATAGGCAAGTACCTTTCCTTTCTTCCCTCCTTCCAAACCTACTGCAATGGTGGTGTCAGCATGTCAGCTGATGTCTATGTGACTGTTACCAGTGCTTCCGGAGGAATTCCATCTGATCCCGCTGCTCTCTCGGATTTCAGCAACTGAATGACGAGGTGTTCGGGACTTCACTTCTGCTTTTGTCGGAGGGTTGTGTCCGCTGATAGTTGTGTGGCTGGGCTGCTGGTGGTATTTCTGGACGAGTTGCAGGTGATGGTGGTAGTGGTGGTGGTGATCGATTCAAGAGTTTTTTGAAGTGGTCAGCCCATTGTTTCGTTCATTTCTCCTCTTCGGTAACTAGGTTTCCTTCACCATCTTTCATTGGTTCCATCTGCGTTGATCTCTCCCCTCTCAGATAGTAGCCTGGTTATTTGATCTAGTGTTGTTTCGTCTCTCTCCATCTCTCCTAACTGCAGCCTGTTCTGATTCGGTTGCCAGTGAGTCGTAGAAGTGTCTTTTGTCTTTCCGCACACTCTTCTTCACTTCTTTGTCCAGTGTAGTGTTTTGTAGGTTGCACTCAGTTCCTCTTTTCATTGTTCATTCCTGCATTCACTGCACTGCACTGCACTGGCTCATCTTCTGCCTCAACATCTTCCTCTCCCTCCTCTATCAGCTTCCATGTGTCCGTTGGGATCCATTCCTAGTCTTGTCTTGTTTCTTCTTCCTTCCTAATACGGTTAATCAGGTTTCCTTCCGAGTCACTTTCGCAGAGTTCTAGTGTTCATCCACGAGGTTTCTTCAAGGATGTGGTCAATGTCTCCCATGTTTCCCTGATGACTGACGTGAAGATGTCCTTTGTAGTTCCGTCCTTTAGTTTAATTCCTGTTCTGGGTGTTCGACTTCAACTGTGGTCCGTCATCACTAACTTCTTTCAAGTCTTCCAACTTCATTTTGAGGATGTGAACCTACATTTGCTCCCCTTCTGCATCTTGTGTCCAGTAGGCTGATTGCGTCTCCACTTTCTTCACATTGAGACGAAGTCGATATGTTTCTTAGTGTAGTGTGTCCTGGTGTCTGCTGAAATCAAATCCATGTAGCTTTCTGAATTACCTTGTGTCTGTACACACTACATCTAATCACCAAATCATTAAATGCACAGAAATCTGCAAGTAGTTCTCAATTCTCATTCATCATTTCACCGAGTGCCTCTCAACCCATGATGACTTCTCTTCCTGTGTTGTCTACTCCCAGTTTGGCATTCATCTCACCCAGTAGAATGAATTTTGATGTCGTCATCGAGTGTGAGGTCTTGTCCACTACTGATTACAGTTGTCTGTAGAATTCCACCTTCTTCTCTTCATCTGCTTAAATATTTGTAGACGCGTGGCGTAGCAGTATGTGATTGTGACTTTCCTTCCTCTTGAGTTGAATCCATCTTGCTGTGATGATCCTGATGCTGTAGGAGGAGACTGGTTCCCACTATGTGAGAGTGAGCCTCCGATGGTGTTGGGAATATCCTGACAACCACTGGAAAACTCAGTGTGCTCGTGGTTGTCGTTTGGGTGACAATATCAGATTGGATTATTGACTCATCTCCAGTTGACAGTTTGTAGAGTCCACTTCCATTCCATCTGCAGATTTCTCACAGATTCCTAGCACTTCTATGTTATTATATCTTTTCATTTCTTTTGCAATCTGGGTAGCCTGGGTAGCCAGCCAGCTTCAAACATCATGCGAACATTCCATATCTCTAAGCTTACTTTTGCTTTCATCGAGGGAGAGAAGTCACATTGGCCAATTGGCTTCCCTGAGGCCTTCACCAACTGGCGTCAGTTCGTCTCCCTGATTATAGCAACGAATAAGTTTCTTCATTTTTTTGTGCTTTGAAGTTTCCATAGTGACTGAATTGATTTTCTGATATGGGGTTGCTAACCCTATGCCCAGCCTTCCCTCTTTATCCGGGCTTAGGACTGACCAATAAACTAGTAAAATAGCAAAATTAGCGACGTTTTTTTAGCTACTACTGAATTTTAATTCTTTTTTCTGAGTTTTAAATCTTTACTATCTCGAGATTATACTTTTACCCTTTAATGAGTAATAGCTTCGTTACCTTACCTCAGCTTTGCTTTTCATTTCCATCACGAGCACATTTTGTTCAGCATTTAACACCATAGAATATTATTATCTCTCTTGCTACATTACATTGTGCTCCTTTTGATTATTTCTGTGATGCTATGCTTTCATTTGTACGTTTGTTAATATCATGTCTTTTACCCCTCTCTGAAGATCATAGCATTTTTCATATTGTTCTCTTGTTTGACTGGACATAGCCTTGCCATTTGTACTGTTGAGTTGCTTTCAAAAGCGATAAGCACGAAAGCACCTCATGATTCGGAGTTTGCAATCTGCTAGTCATTCTTGTTCAATAATAATATACTGCACTTGAGATAAACCTAGTATTTTGGTTTTACGCATAATTCGATCGTCTGGTTTATCTGTTGAAAAATCTCTTAGTAGTCTTGCTTTCGAATACCATGAAAAGAAAAGTTATGTTTAATGATATATTCCAGCTAACACACAGAATGTAGTGTTACTAATGGTTATATATGGTAATCTAATTAAGAATTGAGTTCAATCCTTTCCAATTACTCAAGTTTAAAATTTCATGTTAGTTCAAATGTTCTGATTTCCCCTGTCTACAAAACTATTGATACTCCTCTTGACCATCAATTTGCCAAGTGATTAATAAGAAAATAAATGATACTGACTTGTAGGTATCTTTGTATAAGTGAAGCAAGAGTTTGTAGACTTTGTAGGTAGCCTTCATAATGAAAATGCTGAATAATTTTTTTGAATATCTTCAATACGATGACTACACAACATTAAAAAAAAGAGCGTGTAACCACAATACGCAGCCCAAACATAGCGGGATGCTTTTCTGAGAAAAAGACAAAGGCATACTTTTTTTATATTACAGGGGATTTTGGAGGGTTAAAGTATTACGTTCAGTCATCTATACGTCCTGTAATTTGGAGTGACGAAATGTCAGTAGTTGTTTATTGCACACTGAAAGAATATCGAATTAACGAAACAAGTTATCACTATGCTTGTTATGAAGAGAGGAAAACTGTTAACCTTCACCCAAGTTACTCTACACCTCGTGATTGATGAACACAGTCGCGAGTCACTCAAAAGGTCATCGTAGCAGTAACTCGGATAACCCATAGGCTTACATTATTTTCGTGGGAAAGACGAATTTTCATAAAATCTGGAATTCTTATTGTTTGTTTCAGTTGTTTTCAGGGTGGCTTTTAAAGTCACTCTCAGCTGGTCAACGTACAGACAGCTAGACTAGCTTCTGATCCCTTATAACTATTTATCACCTACTATTACTATATGCAGAAGTAAAGAAGTGAAACAGCTGAGTGTTTTGGATAACATGCGGCAAAACGACGTTGCACTTCATCCAGTTACATCCAGTCTTCATACCTAACCAATCATTAAGTGCTCAGGTTACTTCTAATTCCAATCTCCATGTTTTTTCCATAAAATTTGTTTGGTTTTGGTAATTAACTCTCCTTGAGGAATACACTTGTTATTCGCACCTGTCGTTAAGTAACTGTCACTTCTCAATGGGGTTGTCAACATTAGCCACTTATGTTTTCAGGTATTGCAAGCCAACTAAGTATAACAGAAAAGATACCTCCGTGTTGATTGAAGTCGATTGTTAGTCTGGAAACCTATAGTCGTTTTATACGAATAAAAAGCTCCAACTTAATATTTGTAACATGAAGCAGTCAAACAATAGCATGAAATAAACAGTTCTTGATGTTTTAAATCTGTTATCTTATGGCAGGAGATAGTTTGATCGTAATGAGTCAGCGTGTGATGGATATGAGTATCCAACCTATCTCATCGAATGGGCTTGATCAAGAAGTCAATTTTGATATCGTCGTAAGTTTTCATCACATAAAAGACATTGTGATTACCCTTATGGGTGTCATTGGGAAAACCATACAAATTAAGAGTCCAAAACCTCTGATAGATAAGGTACAGTCGTTCTGAAAGCGGAATCGATAAATGGATTGCAAGTAATGCGATCTTCTCACTCAGAATTGAAAAATGCAAAGATTTAACAGCCCTACTTTGCATGCTGCAGCTATTCTTTAAACTGAATAGCAAATCTTGGGAAAAGTAATTCATATACTGGCTAATTTCAGAGAGTACCAGGTGACAACAAACAGAACAGTGCTTCAAATTTGACAACTTCAAATGACTGATGTTTTGATGTTGAGTGGAAACGAGTGGGCTATGAATTGATTCAAGGAGGTTTCTTGAATCACAAACCCAAGTGGGTGAGAGACATTTTAATAGAAGTTTATCTTAGGGTCGCATTTGACAAAGAGATCGGTTTATATAAGAAATGTAATGGTGTTTAACTGTATGTTCAGCTTTGAAACATTTTAAATATGAGCTTGTTTTTTCAGTGAACACTCATGTACACCAAAGCAACCTAGTTATTTATCATCAGGATACAGTGAAGACCTAATTGTAGAAAACAAGATGAAAAGGCAGTAATTTACGGCCATGTGCACTGGGTGAACATTTAACAAAAACGTTTGTATGCTTTCATCTGAAAGGTATCATTACACACTATCTATATTCCATAAATCCTTAAAATTACAAAGTATATTTAATATTCCACTGTGTATACTTTGATTTTTTTTCATGCCAGCATTAAACGGTTCAAAGTTTTGTTACAGATTGCCAACGATCAAATATATTTTTAACCACTTGACTGCAGTTTCCAACTAAACGAATTGTAATTCATTTTATTGATATTATCATTCCAAAGGTTATTGTTCAATTTCCTCAGTTTAACCAGACTCACGTATATACATATATGCATCAAAGATACAATATATTCCATTTTATTACTACCCAGTGAATGGTAAAACATGACTCTGATGATCATATTAACTGTATCACTTATTTTCATCGGTAGATATTCATGCAAACATTTCGACATGTTATCTGATGAATTAATCCAATATGTAAATGATCACGTGAGTCAATGCTATGTCTAAAGTAGTTAAAAATGTCTTTCAATGACAGAATGTTTCACCCTATTCTCGGCTCACCAGCTAATTATATAATCCATTTCAACATATAAGTGCTTTATGGCGAATCGAACTCACCTGATAATTATAAACTTCAGGATCAAAATTTAACTTGATACAGTTGAATAAATTGAGCATGGATTATAAATGAAATATATTGGTAAAATCCCAATGAAGTGGGAAAATACATTTCTAACGTCTCGCAACTTCGTGGAAATCGTGTCTTCAGAGAATAAAACCAGTAATATAATAGTAAATGGTGACGAATCAGATCACGTTGTCTTTATTTTCCATTATTCGTCTTGAGTTCAAGGTGATGTGAATAATGTGCACTTGTAAATGGGTGTGAAAGTGTGAAAAAAATAGTATGGATGACAAACCTTGGTTGTGTGTAGATACTTTTGTTCTGGTCATTGTATGTGATGTGCTGTCATTGGAAATACTCTCCAGATTGACTGGATAGTTAGGCCTTTCCTACTGTTGAGTGCATTAGGATTCAACATGATGTGAAATGCATCAGCTATTCCTCTTTCTTTGTAGTTTGAAAATCCTTATTGAATAATTTTAATATTTTTATTATTGATTTTGTGACTGTGATAGATGGCAAGAACCGCCATTGCCTACTTCATTTGTAAATTCTCCAGTTCTACAAGATTATTTAGCTATCGTTTTGTGTAACTTGCATGTTTTTTAGCCCTAATGAGGATCTCATGTGATGATTCCTCAATATAATAGGCATCACAATCCAGACAGCTTAATTTGTAAATACAGTTTTATGTGCAGACAAAAGGAATTTTAGAGCATTTGTGAGAGTGTTGGTTGTCTTGTGAAAGGCTCTAATTCGATACTTTCTTAAGATTCTTTGAAGCACTTCAGTTATGCCTTGGTGGGATGGTAGAACTACTGTGCTAATCAAAGAGTAATAATTTGAATTTTCTCTTCTATCCCTCTGCTCATGCTTCTCAATCTTTTGAATGACATTCCTAGGGTATCATGTATAGACAATGTGATCTAATTCGTCACCGTTTACCATTTGAACAATCGATAACTTTTACCGGCTTTATTAACTGAAGACACGGTTTCCACGAATTCATGAAACGTCAGAAGTTTATTTTCCCACATCACTGGGATTTTACAAACATATTTCATTTATACTCACTTGGCAATGTTATCGGTTAGAAGAATTTCCTTTGTATCAGCTACCAACCAAGGGTAAACCTTAAAATTTTCTAACATAATATTGACTTCTGCTTGTCTTCAGGATACCCTTGTTGGTTACAGTAATAACTGTCTGCAACATCTTGGGAAAATTGAATCTCTTATCTCGAAATATTGTCTCATGATCATTAGGGGATTTTTAAAATGTAACCAAATTGATGAGAGCTTGTCTGCTGCAGTGAACGTGAAAAGTAAGTCCACTAGTGAAATCCAGTTTTACAGGTCAACCTGTAATTCAGGTTCAAATTTTTCGTTTCTTAATACTTTTCAGTTGCAAGTGCTTATCAAAACGGAGGCGTAGGCAATATATTTACATCACTATATTAAGACTAGTGAGATTTTTTTAACGGTAAATGACTACCTTTGAGACCATTCTTTGGTTATTTATCCTACAGTCTTACGAATACAACAGAAGTAATTGATCAATTCCCAGTAGGTTATTAGTTTCACTCTCCTAGCTTATTGTTCGAAACATGACATTGTAGAGTACTCAAGAACTTTGTGAATTCCTATGAATATAATGTAAAACAAAAGACGTCTAGTAAAGAGTCACTCTTCAAAAATATGATTGTCAAGCTGCACAACTGTACATAAATATTTCATTAAAATGGTAACAGAAATGGAATGTTTCATAAAATACTTTTGAACGAAATTCAGTTTTCGAAAATATAGAGTAACTAAGCCAAGAAAATTTCCTTTTCGATGATTCGTTTTCAGCAGGTGGATAATTGTATTTATAGTAATAACAACCAAAGAGATTAGTCTATTATTGGCTAATGGATCAACATTGGGTCGTCAAAACGGAATGTTCTAGAGTGCAATAAGGAGTCGATTGTAGGGTTAGAAAGGGATTGAGTAATCAGGTATGCACAAAAAAAATATACAGTAGATTAATGTAACGACTATCAGATTAAAAATAAGCCGATAAAAAATAACATAACTAATCTTAGTCAATAATTCAAGTAAAGTAGTATGAGAATTTCAGTGGGAGATTGGAACTAACATGTTAAGATGTGAGAAAGTAAGCCTTAAGGTAAAAATGAAAAAGTAATGATAATCAGTCAGTAGGAGTAAAGTGAGTATGGAAGTAATAAAGAAACTCAAGAAAGGACTATGACCACTTTAAGATAAGAGGATGGACGTACATTTTCTATACACAGAGCTCAGGCTTTAACTGCTGGAATTCCAACACTTCTGCTATACACAAGCGAGGAATTCATATACATATTCTAAGATATCCTTTCTAGATGCTCATCTATAAAGAAGAAATAATGGATCGCCCAAAATGTCTATCCACAGAAAACCCATGTAGAACGGAAAAATAACAGTTTTTTTTATTGCTGGGTACCTCCAAATACCAAGTGAAATCTGATTCGCTCTGTGTGCCGTAGAATCTACGTTTTCTACAGTCATGACACTCTGGAAGATCAACTTACTTTCTGCAAAAGGTTTTGACTGAAAACCAGTATACTGAACGTGTCATCGCTAAAACTAACGAAGCTGAAAACAAGTAACCATTCCACTTGTGCCGCTCTAAAGAAGCCTCTTTTCATTATCTTACAATTCAACCGAGACATATCAGCAGATATATTGAGAAACCGTCTCATGTGTTCATTGAGAAAGGCTTTCTATGATGCCAAACTAAGGTCAACTTTCTCTGCCTACACAATAATTCGACTGTGCATAAAGGATAAGCTAGCTCCCTTGACCAACTTAGTGTGTGTTTATTCACTTATCTGCTCCCTTGGAGTGAGATATTTTGGCCATACTCAGTGTTCGCTTTACAAATGCATCTCCGAACTAACGACAGCCTGGTTTCAAAAAAAAAGAATAGCACCTCACAGTTCTGTTTTAAAACACTTTATGGATCAGTTTCATCCATGGAGTTCTGGAAAGCCTCATGAAACGTGTACGCTTGGAACTTCTCAGTGTGGAAGCCATGACAATTAATATTTTGAAGCCTGGACTCTGCGTTCAGATGAAATTTGTCCAGTTACCTAAGTCTCAATGGATACGGCCTATAAGAAAATTTATCTACAAGATCTTTTCTTTCACATTTCACACATCAAATTCTCCCGCCCCTATAATTCTGATTTCTGATTGCATCCATCAGTCCCTTTAAGCATATTACATCATTAAATTTAGTAGCAAATTTCGCCTTGGTGTCCGTAAATTTTCTTCTCACTACTATTTTAAACATTACGTAGTTCTTTATCCGATCTCCTGATTTATAGTCAGAACGGAATTTGGTCAGCTCTGATCGTGTCACTTCCCCATAGTCTTTTTTCAAAATCCTAAGCAAATCAGGCCAAATGCTTTGTAACAAGCACGGATTCGTCTCTTGTGTATGGCAGAGGCATTGGAACTTCAACAACTTAAGTCTGAGCTCTGTGTGCAGAATATGCTTGTCTGTTCTCTTATTTTACCGTAGTCATAGTCTTTTCTTGAGTTATATATGTATATATATATATATATATATATATATATATATAATGTGAGTGTTACTGTCTAGTCAAAAATATTCACCGCTCACTTCTGTATCGCATGTTGTGTTCACAACCAAAATCACGTTTCAGATATCTTCTACACAACACCTCTGTGATATGTTTGTGAATACAGACAACTTTAAATAAGCTCTCTAACCATCATTATTCATAAGCAGTTAATTATTTAAGATGCATACAGTGGTAATACCGATGGCAGCTTCCCTTCAAAATTTACTTTAAAACGAGTGTCTATCTAAATGACATCTTAAAAGTTAGACCCTTTATTTCTTCATTACTCTGAGAAAATTCATGATGGGAGTAATAAGACTGTAGGGAACGGCTAAAAGGGAAGTCAACATTTCATTTAATTGGTCGCTCGAGTAGAAATTTCTGACAGCTTTTGATAAATGTTCCTGTACGATCAGGAGAAATCGTAGTGGGCCTTTCATGCTTCACGCAGCCTATTGGGACAAGCTATCTTATCTTGAACTAGAGCATTTATATATATATGTATATATATATATATATATATATATATATATATATATATATATATATATATATATATATATAGCATATAAGAAAAACGAAGTCGTGCTTCTGATGACAAGTCACTATTTGTCTTCTGATATTCTTTTGGCTCAGTAAACAGTTGTTACCGCATTCAAGTATTGTTTTACTGCGTTCAGTTTCGTTATCATCTCACCATCTTATTTCATCCAGTCACTTGACAAGTTCTTAAATACCCAAATGTATATGAAAGTGATTTTTGCTCATTTCAGTCAGGAAATGTCCGAAGTTTATGAGGCTAAATGGTTGCTCTTGCATGTTTTCTTCTTAAACAGTTATTATTTGTCACCCCACCAATGAGTCATAATAAAAAATGGAAACGCAGATAGTGGTGAATCACCTTTAAACGGTATTTTAATTACTACAGACTAGATGCTAACAATAGTTAAAAAGCGTTTGTAAAAAAAATATGATGGAGAATTTGTCGATTATTGAATAAGCCAGAGCATAACTTTTACACGAACCACGATGGCCATAAACTTTATGAAGATATGTGAGTTAAAATTCTTAAAGTTGTAAAGTGACTCGTTTAAGTTTTATAAAATTTAAATCACTTTTGCAAGAGACAATGATATTTTCTAACAATTATAATGCCAAAAAGCATTTGCAAGCTATACCATTTGAATGACTTAAAATTTATTTTATTTTTAAGTACAACCAGTCAACTTAATAATATAAATACAAGTTTCTCTATCCTTATATTTGTTCTTCATTCTTCCTATTCAGCCTGCTTCATGTTGGAAGGCATCACGACAAAATCGTTTTAAGACAGCAACTGATGTACGCAACACACTGGGTTATCCTCCTATTCAGACCTCTAAATATCACAATCTCCCCTCAGTCTCATATGATAACATGGATATTCTACTTCCTGATTACTTTGATTCACGTGAGCACTGGGATAATTGTTCAAGTATAAAAACTATCCATGACCAATCTCGATGCGTTTCAGGTTGGGTATGTTTTGGTGCTAATTCACTCTGATTTTTAGATTCGCATAGTTTCATGATGTGCCTATTTTTTCTTCTCACAATATTACAGTATAGTTTAGACGATATTTTGAAACTGTGGTTCTTCTCCCGATTTTATCTTTCTGAATGCCCAAAGGTGTTTTTTCAGTCTCCGTAGATCCTAAGATAATCCTTCTTTTATAAACTGCACATTCAAATTATGGATAAAAATAGCTTTCTTTATTGCTTACCTTTAATCGTTGAAATACGCTTTTATAAGTGAGACGCTGATATAGATATGGACAAGTAGATTAGGACTAGTCACAATTCCATAGGGTTTGGCTTGAAGTTAAATCATATCTCAGTAATTGATAATAATTGTCTGAAGTACATACATGCCGAATTACAAGAAACGTAAAAAATGAAGTCATTTTAAAGATAGCCTTAGTAATCATATTGTGTTGATAAATAAAAATTTGAAAGTTAAAACCGATGATGTGGCATTCATTTTGGAGAATTAGGGCATTGCGTAGCTACTGGCTTTGTTTTTTCATGCGTCCTATTAAAACATCATTCAACCGATTGCATAGATGAGGTATATTTCAGCGAAATCCAGGGAGACATCGGGACTGAGTGGTTAATATGCAACCCGGATGCCAGAAGTAACAACAGTTTGAAGATTAATTGTTGATTAAAAAGTACTTGAATGTATATTAATCATATGATGAGGTCACGATATCTTAATTTATTTATTTCTTCAATGTGGGTCATACTTAAAATGACTGAAATGGCTTCCAGATATATAAGGCACTTCACCTAGATACTCAAATTTTGGTAATAGGGGAGTACTGTCTCTAAATGTTTAGGTTAGATCGGTTACAAACTTTTAAGTTTATCTTCTACAATATAATAAAAGTTTGTTTGGATCAGATCAAGTTCATATTCACAGACCTGAGAGGTGACGTGTTTGGTCAGTTTTTAGGAAATTCGACTGAATCAGATCAAATATAGATTGGTCAACAAACCTCACTGGTATCTCGGACAATAAAAATGTTACTGGTTTTTAATAGCTTTTTAAACTATACATTAAAGCGGAGGTGTTTATGGGTACATTTCAAGTCATCAAAACCAGGTATTAAAGGAAGAGATCCACAAAAAAAGTCATCAGTTAATTTTTCATCTGAAAGTTTCACACTGCTCTTTCTACTTCTTCGATAGTGGCAACATCGACGGAGGCTGAAGATAAAAAAAATGTGAGAGTTAACAGAAAATATCGCCTAATTTTTAAAGGAACATTACTTAGAGTTAGAAAAAACAATTTACTGAAACCAAAGCGGTTGTATTATGGGACCGTACTGTTGATACGACTTTAAATCTGACCTCAGTTAATTAGGGCACACTATCATAGAAACAGGTGAGCTGGTTTCCGCTGTCATACTCGTTATTCACATACATTTTCTATCCATTATCACACTGAATGAATCTAAATCAACAGAGTATTTGATGAATCTTTCAGCATCTTGATTACCCCAAACAGTCATGCCTTACATGTCGACATTTTTGCAAAATAAATGGTTGTAGCACTTCACTTGATGCGGTACTAAAGTGATTTTGAGTTTCATTTGGGCTGCATGTGAACGAATCTTACGATACTTCTAATCATCAGTTTTCGAGGAAACGTTTTGCACCAAGTTGCAACCTTAAATATCAGTCTTCTATTTTGTTGTTATATGCAGATGAATTCGATTAAAAGTTAGCACAATCTTCTTATGTATGTTCAGAGTAATACTAGTATTTGTGTTCATGAAAATTTCAAGTATACAACCTCCTTCAGAACATTAACTTTTGAAAACCTCCAATTATCGTTTTACATTACAGGCTGTAGCCTCGGCTTCTGCAATCAGTGATCGTATATGCATTCAAACGAATGGAAAGAGTAAACCAGAACTGAGTGCTCTTGACCTGATTTCCTGCTGCACCAGATGTAGAGTTGGGTGTCAGTTTGGGTATCCTAAATTCGCTTGGGATTACTGGGTGAGAAGTGGCATAGTTACAGGCGATTCGAAAGGAGCCTTCTCCGGTTGCTTACCTTATCCTTTTCCGAAATGCGATCATGGTCCAACCACTCTCATCCACTGTGTGGTAACATTACCTACGAACCACCTACGTGTAATAATACCTGTTCTCCTGGTTATCCCGTTTCATATGCAGCTGACAAACATTTTGGTAAGTTTTAGTTTATGTATAAGGTATGAGCAAATTTTAAACTAGTAGTTTTACAACTTGCCAATTATGACATTTTGCTTGTATAATGTTACCGTAAACCTGAAAAATTTTTATGACGTCAGAAGTGCATTGTACTGTCAGCCTAAGTGGCTAGTGTGACATCTGATACATTCTGAAGGGTTTCCCATCCAGTTAGCCAATAACTCTCTAGTCTAAAAATTTCAATTTAGCCATACATCACAATATTTATCCTCTTGCTTTCAGTTAAACACTTATCTTCCATAAAAATGACTGCTCAGTATCGTGACAAATAAACTGACCAATTCGGCATCCAGGTTGTAAGATGGATTGTAAACGTATCGAGTAAATTAAGTCAAAATGTGGATGATAGTACATGAAATAAATCATTATTCATCTTTCAAAAATACGTCAAAAAAGTTTGGATACTTAGGAAATGAAAATAAATCGATGGAAGTCTTTAAAAGTTAATAGGATTTTTTAACACAAAACTCAGTTTCGCTTTAACATTAAAGAACACGAGTTAAAATTATATAGAAGTAGAACAATGATATGGGTGTACCTACGTAGTTATGAATAGCGTTTGCATTGAATCACTATGAAATTTTCCAGATACAACTGATAGACGCCATTTTTGATAACCGAAATTGAACCTAAGTGATAACTTTGGCATACTGAAGTACATTCGGCAAATGACGTCTCAAATCACAAGGGTTTTTTCACTAGCTTAGTTTCACCACCAACCATGACTTACTTACGCGATTGATTTCCAACTAGCCTTGATGTCAAACAGTGTTTCGTCTCAAGATTGCAGTGATGGTTTCTTTTTTGAAAGGTAGGTAGTTAAAAACAAAAGCTCTTGCTGTGGTGCAAATGAAAATTGTAATTTTGACTGAATGATATCCGAATTATCTTCTAATCACACTCGGTGTTAGAAGGCTTCTTCCCAAACAACTTTAGTAGAGAAAACTCGATAAGTAATAAAGTATTGTTCACAGTGGAAAAACAAATATGGGGAAGTTTTGGGCTCAGTATGGTTTGCAAAAGGCTGTTTTCAGTTTGCTGAAATCCATCAGAATCGGCTGTTATAAGTTTATGTTGTGAGTTAATTCATTCCTACCTGAATCCTGTTAAATTAATTGACTGAGCTATACACCCGCAAACGCTGGATGTTTCACATATCATACAATATCGACTAGATGGAAATAAAAGGCAGCGAGCAGTTTCTCTGTGCACCATGATATAGATCGTTATTTCGCTGAATCGTAATCCTCTATGATATACAGAAAGTGTAGACTAACTAGCGATTTGCGATCGCAAGCGTATGGTGTTCTTTTGGCATTGTTCTGAGAAACTGCACTGATGTACTGTACAGATCAAATCTCTCCGATCGCTATTTACCTTATAAAGATAAATTTTTCAACCCTGAAGAAAGGAGGTTGTTGAAGCAAAGTTTGAAGTTTAGCTTAATGACTTCTCAGAAATTAAGGAAGTACGCAAACATGACGTGAAAGTCTAATGATCACGGGTTACTTAAGAAAGTTCAGCTTTTTCATCATACGCGATTTATATTTTCAAGAACCTTCTACGTCTAATACTTACAATGATATTTACTTTTCTGATGATCGCTCATTAATATCTTGAGTAAATATTCAAACAATCAGTTAACATCTTTTCAATTTTCTTCATTTCAGGAAAGTTCATCTACACTGTCAGAAAAAATGAAAGTGATATCAGGAAAGAGATTATGCTCAATGGACCGGTTCAAGCGAGTTTTTACGTTTATACAGATTTCCTCAATTACAAATCTGGCGTCTATAAACATTTGACCGGAGATATGATCAACATTCATTCAGTACGCATAATTGGATGGGGCACCGAAGATGGTTTACCTTACTGGTTATGTGCCAATTCGTGGAATGAAGACTGGGGTGTGAATGGATTATTCAAGATTTTGCGCGGTTCCAACGAATGCAACATTGAAATGTACATCAATGCTGGTACAGTGAGAAATTAGACGCTCGCTTACATCTGATAATGCTACATTTCTTCAAGATATATTTAGTGGTTTTTCATCAGGTGTGGAATCGGAATTTAAATGGACCTGAAACTGTTTCAATAAAATAATGCTATGAGTTTTAGGTACAGTATGCTGTTATTATATGAGAGATACTGTGAAATATTGGGTGTAATGAAAGTAAACATAACCACATATCATCGTGTGGAAGTATTACTAATCAAATGTTTTGAGATGGGGAGTTGAAGAGCTGAGTATGTGGAAATAATCTTATAAAGGTAGCAGAAGTAGCTGATAGTCTTTCCAGCAAAATTATTATAGTGAGGTAAAAACCATTAGGGTTAAGAGGATCAACTGTCTATGTAGTTTCCCCCTGGAGTATGAGAAACTGTATTTATCACTGGAGACTGACCGAACACTTTCCTCATAGTTTGGCTTAAAGACGCTGCATAGTAACAAATTCCATGAAGTTTAGCAGTCAGGGTATTCTCTGCGTAGATAATAATTAAGGTATTTCCGAAATACCAGCCTAATGTTCTGCGAAACAAAATCCTTTGGTAGATGAACTGCTGAGAAATTACTTTTGCTTTAGACTTGAAACATCTGTTTTCACGCCTACGAAGTTGGAATAAAGTTATGTCAAGAAAATGTTTTGCATTCTAAAGATGTTTGGTAACAGCATTGTCCTTGGCTACAAGATATCACTAGATTGATTTTAGATGCCTGTACACAACATAAAAATGACTAAATGAATGCTACTGACACTACCCAACCTGACACATACCCACTTGAGAGATTAAAGTTCTTGAATCGTGAACTAAGAAGATTTTAGAACCTTAAACGATGGACCAATCTACTGAAGTTAGTGACATTGTATGCTTCATATATTTGGAATATGTAACGCAGAGTTAACATGGGTTTTGAATTCTTTGGCAAATTTCCGGGTGTAAATCGAAATATATGAAATTTACCTCCAAAGTGAGTTAATTTGGAATAATAGAATATAGCCCTTTGTTGTTGCTTACATTGGTCTGTATGTTACATGATTCAAACTTAACACACCAACATAGTAGATCCTTTGAAATAGTGATGGAAGTGACATTTCATACCAACCTCTTGAAACTGGATCATGAGAGTGTGCTGAGGATCTGGATAGAACCTATGAGTAAGACACTCATTGGTATACTCGGAATCGCCAGCAGATTAAGCCAGTCCCTCACAATAACAACCTTTTGCTGATCAGTTACGTAATAAAATCACCTTGTCCGCATCTCAAGTTGACACTAGAAACTATATGGTGTTCGGAAAAGTGATATCGCACAATTTCCCTGATGGACCCATCACTAATTCTTAACCATCACCATTGGCAGTCAGAACTCGCTGTTAAGGCAGCAATATTCAACTCATCAACAATCACAAGCACTTCTAGCATTCGATCTTATCATGGTTTTGTTCTTATGAATATAGTAATAAAAATGAAAGTGGAAATCCTGAAAGTATTGGATTTGTTTTGAAGGGAATTAAACGCCAAGTGTTATTAAATAACTTCTTTCAAATTTTGACTGCGCTTTCGGCTCACCAACAGACACTACAGAGGATTATTATGGACGTATTGTGTACAACTACGTGATGCTTAAGGGAAATGATTGGTGTCAAGATTATTGTAATCATACATTGAAACAAGCCCAGGGAAATGATTGAGTTATATAGACAAGCTAAAGTGAGGAAGGAAAATAACTGAAGCTACAATTTTTTAACACATGCGCTGAGTTTTAATTCAGATTCATTGGTTTCCAGGTGAAACAAGTGCGTACTGACTAGTTTTCGTTTGGTCATGAAAGTGGTTAAATGCAGATCACCAAGATGGGGGAGAAACCATTTTCATATTACTAATGGATAGTGGCTACCAGTGAAATCTATGAAGCACGTTTCGTCCTATTTAGGACTTGTCGTTGGGATGTGCCTCCCTCCTAGTGGGTGATGTTGTTCTCACTAATCCTCGAATCCGGAGCCGATTGCTCCAAACACCAGAGTGCTGTCGACTAGGCCACTGAGTCAAAATATTCACTTCCGTTCCAACGGATATGGTTTACATCATGTTACTCGTATTACGCTGCCGTCAAGTGAACCGAATCGATCGGTCTCCATTAGCAAATGGGCTCCAGTGTGAATGCCTCTATATTATAATGAATTGTGGCTAGCAGTGGAATTCAGGATTCAAGGGATAAACCATGCTGGAATACTGCATCTAGTTCCTCATTTAATCGTAATCTGTAGCTCATATATGTTTCAGTGAGGTTATGATTAAGCATGTATGGACTACAAACAACTTTTACCAGGGGCGTTTTACACTTTGTTATCTCCTTTTCCAGCAATAGCATGACATAAAACGCTTAATAATTATCCTTTTTAGTCTGTAACTTTTCTGTTTCTTCTAAGTAAAATAAGCTGAATAGGAACATATAGAAAGGTAGGACAATTCAGCATACACCCAAACAATGACTGAACTGAAATTCTTTTTCAGCCTTAGACTCATTATGTATCATACCAATGTGGGAAGTAAACTGAATTAGGATTAAAAGGTATAGAATGCTGGTGCTTTTGATATCACTAACTCTTGAACAGATTTCAAAAATCAACCATATTCACTCCATGCCTCTTTTTCCAGACTTTGGGATCTGCTAATGTTAATGAAACGTCTAATTTAAATCTTTCCTTGTAGGATTCAAACTCTTTTTTGTATGCAATTTCATTTTAGTCTGTTTATTAGAAATATCACACAGTGAAACAGTAGCATTTACTGGATAACGTTTCGGACATAATTTATCGTCCATATTCATATCAGGTAACTCCACAACTTCGAGACAGTCTTTATATATTCCTAGTTTTCTCTTCTTCTCTGTGATGACAACGGTAGTAGAATTTTCCATATATCTGGGGCAGGTGCAGCATCATTTCGAGTGCATGTGTTTGGTGTTGATTCGATAAACAAATATTCGGTTACCAATCCCTCCCTCCACCCACCCAACTAAGTTAGTTTTCAAAACTGTCACCCTATCTTACCCTACTGTGTGATTGTGTGTCATCGCATGCAGAGCTAAAGCCGAACTTTTCTCTAGATTCCTTATCTTATTAGCATCTACTGATCTTGACTTAGCTAAGCTTTTGTGCTCTGTTATTCTAATCGACCCTGGTCGACTGCTTTGACCTATGTACTTGACCTCGCAATCATTGCAAGAGATCTGGCAAACCAGATTATTTTGCTTAATTGCACCCATAGGATCTTTTGACCTACAAAGCTTGTTTCTAAGTGAGTTTGTTGATTTGAATACCACTTTAATCCCAGCCTTATTGAGAATTCTTCGTAGTGCTTCCGAGGTGCCTTCCTTGTATGGTAATACAGCAGTGGCTTTGAATTCTCTCTTAGCCCCGTCGCCATTATTACCACTAGTAGTGGGACTATTATTAATAACATCTGTATTACTACTACTACTACTACTACTACTACTACTACTACCATTGCTAATATTTTTCTTCCGATTTCTTATGAATTTATTTATAAATTTTGGTGGGTAATTATTGAGACGTACGGTATTCTTGGTATGTCTAATTTCTTGTCGCAGATTTTACGATCTACTAGTAAGCTTTTTCGCTCTATCACCTAAGCATTTAACTAGGCCTACTTTAACTGAAATGAGGTGGGAGGATTAGAATTCTAAGTAGCGATTCGAATGGGTAGGTTTCCTATAGACACTAGTCTCTAGATTTCCTTCTTGTGTTCGTTTAATCTTGCAATCCAACATTGCTAGCTCACCTTCTTCACTTTCCAAGTCACAGGTAAATTGGATTGCATTTACTACTGAATTTATATGTGCCAGGAACCTATTGATGTGTTCCGATTTCAGTACTGTAAACGTATCATCTACATGTCGGAACCATATCTTTGGAGTAGGACTAAATGTTTGAAGGGCCACCTGTTCCCAACTATTCATAAATATGTCTGCGACGATGGGGGATATTGGTGATCCCATGGCAACACCTTCAGTTTGTTTATATATTTTATTTTGAAACTTAAAAACTGTAGATGTTAGGCACAATCGTACTCCTAGTATGATTTCCTCCATCGGCAGCTTAGTTCGCTGCCTAAGTTCTTTGTCATCTTTAAGACCATTTCGAACTGTCCCCAGAGCCATGTCAATCGGTATGTATGATTTATATCCCCCTTAAATCAACTTAGCCTCCTTATTCTGCTGAACTGGTACCACTGAACACTTTTATCAAGTACTTTTAATTTACATAATTTTTAAGAAGGTAATCCTACACTAATCCACTTCTCAGCTTAAATGACTCAAAAGACAGTTTTCACTTCATGCGGCTTATTTTGTTGCACAGACCCAATTTAGTTTCTTTTTTCGATAACATATCTCCACGCACCCCTAAGATAAAATACTGCGTTGTTCTACAAAGGATAAAGCTTTCTCTTTTGATGACAACTGAGAATCCTCGCTATCTCTTTGGATCTTTTTTTGCAGCAGGCAGTTATGATATCGTATTAACAATACTGTGGAGAACATTTTGGCGCACTAACAACAGAGTCTTCCACTGTTTATTGTTCAATAATCTAAAATAAGCACATGACCAGTTGTGGCTTTTTACGCCTAACTCCTACCTTTAGAGCAAACTGATTACAACGTAGTAACTGGTAATTTGATTGATGTTATGTACTTTTACAGTTTGCTGATCATCTTAGTATCTGGCAAATCTCCTTTCCGCTTAGGCATTTAGTACCAGAAACTAGATTTATTTTGTTCTATGAAAGCACAAATCCATAGAATATATGTTTCTAAGATTATTCTTGATTTCCATAATCTTATTCTTTGAATAAATAGCAACGAAAACTGTGTTCAACTTGATCAAAGGTTTTGAATCCATTAAGTATACCTTAGAGTGGTCCTCCTACACCTCTCTAAGCTTAACCGCAAGTCCTTTTTCATTTAAATAAATACTGTAAAAAAAACAGTATGAGAAAATTGCAATTATAATGTTGCAGATTTTTCAAAGACAGAATTTCATTTCGGTTAAATTAAACAAAAAATTATGTCTTTAGTCAATGTCCATTACATTTTA